AAATTGGGGCCGTCGGTTTTTTTTGCTTGTTGCAAGAAGCGGTGCAGAGCTTTTTCGGAAAAGGATTCCATCAACTCCAACGAATCTCCGTCCACGAGACCTCGCTTACCGTGACCGAACACCCGTGACCACGCCCACCTCCAGCGTGGACGCAAGAGACGTACGAGGACAGCTGGCCGAAGCTGCCTCTCGAGAGAACCATCCAGTGGAGTGGGACACAACATACTTTCATACTGTTCTACAAGCAAGTGGGGGGAAGGAGAGTCTGACCAGAACCATCGTGAATACATTCATGCAAGCTCCCCTTACAGTTATAAGTATTATCTAGTGGGGATCTGTTAGTTGATTGAAGGACATGAATGTGTAATGCGAACGTAATGGTTGGAGGTCAAAGGTCAAATGGCCGCTGAGGCCAAGCTGCGCGGAAAGAGGTGGGGACTTTTTAGACGGACTAAGTGGAGGACGTGGACTCTGGGTGCCAGGGGGCCGACAGGACAAGTCTGGTGGCCTGGTGGGAAGACAACAGGCTGGATTCACGCCTACATTCAGAGATTGTTGGCCGGAGCAACTGCCACTGAGGTGAGATGTCAGAGATCACAGGAACGGGAGGATGATCGTGACTGAAGCTCAGATGAGATTCCTTGCTTTACAAATTTTGCGTGCAGCGGCCATGAAACTTGATGCACTTGAGTGACTCTGCACCAAGCTGGGGGCAGTGAACACACGATTTCTACTGTATTTGTTAGCGGTGTAGACAGAAAAAAAGGGTTCCTCAATTATTATTGTGAGTTGTAGTACCCATGATGCGTCTAGTGTCGACAGAATTGGACCAGGTGTGGGTATGGCTGTAGTCAGTGAGTACAGGTCCTACCAAACTAAAACACAACATAGGTTTTTGATATATACTTCATCATCGTTTCTAATTTCTACTCCATCCCGTGACAAAAGCCTAGTTACTTCTCCTGCCAATATAAACTATCTTTCACACTGAGGTGGGTCTTCTTCACCTTTCAAGACATCACTACTGTTAACAATGGCGACGTCCATAATCTAATGAGTGTCATTACGTGGGTGTACAGCTCCCAATATTTTCAGCACGTGATGACGATTCCATGCTTTTTATGCTATTTATAGTTCACACATAATAGTTTGCATTAACATGTTGGACAAAAAGATCATACAGCTTTCATTATAGAGGTTTTCGACCGTATTCACTTTGCGTGTGTGCGGTGGGCTAGGGGTGTACGGTTGTTGCCATGGGAACGTTGAAGGTACTGCTCAGACATTAAGTGAACGAGGGCCGAGTAGAGTCCAGCCGGTTGTAGAAAGTGGGGTTCGTTTAAAAAGCACCTAACAGGAGATTTTTTTCTGTACCAGTTGGGTTTTATTGGACGTGAAAGGTTTTGGCGCCCTTCGACGCTGAAGCCGGTGTTGTTACAGCAGATGCGTCCCAATCATACTGATCATAGACTGAGTGATGTGATCACAGATGAGGGAGCATAAGAGAGAAAAGGGAAACCAATAAAGGAACATCATTGGGGGAAGAAAGTCGGGGATGTCAGTTCCACCTTGGATGAAACATACCAACGGGGAAATGTTACAAGAACAAAAGTGTGCAGGTATAAAAACACTGCGGGAATACTATAAAGAAATGGGTCAAAAAACTGCGATAAGTTGAAGAAAGGAAAACTCACAATTGTTCTCAGAGGCGGGATGAGGTTGGACGAATAGAGGAACGTGTGACTGATATGTTTACCGGAAGTGAGCCTTTCGATGTTTTTGACCTATGTACCAAAAAAAAGAACAATTTATAGCGCCGGCCATAAATGTGGCAGCAAGGGAAGGGGGGGCTGTCTTGGCCGAGGTGCCATCCTTGTGCTTTTCCCTTTTTTTCACCCCTTCCTTCTTTTTTGTTCTTTCTGTAGTGTTGAGCTTTCCCTTTTGCTGGTACCGCCAGTCATTAACCAGTGCCTGTCACACATGGTCTGGTGTTTGAGTCTTACCAGAACTTACTTTCCCCTTCTTACCCTAGTCCCTTTTCACTATTTTTGACCTTAGAACAATTTATCCCTGGATTGAATCATTCTATGTTCCGGTGACTCGTTGGTCTGTACCTCCTTTGTTCTTTTTTTTTCCATATCATGACGGCCCTGTATGTGCACGAATTCCTGATATTGTGGATGTGGATTAACCATTGATTTCTACACTGGCCCTTTTTCCCCCTTTTCTCTCTTTTCTATTGTCACCTATTTTTTTCTTGTGTGGTCTTATTGCCGTCTGTTTCGCTCACATTCACCCCCAGTTCGTGATCTCACTCTTGCCTGTGTACAGTGCGCATTTGTCTCCTTTCTTCTTTTCTTTTCCCTTTTCCCTTCTTCTATATGTGCTTGCAGCGTTTGGGACACTGTGTGTGCCCGGAACCCCCCGTTTTTTGTGATATTGCTCACTGCCGATTTTTTCACGTGCAGACTGCTCACGTAGCACATGCAGCCGACGCAAGTCCCACCTGGCTCGGTGTTCGTCTGGACTCATGTGAAACCGACGACACATAACACACCACCGTCTAGCGTCGGACTAGTGAATTCATTGCACACAATCCTGTTTCTAACGTGTATTAATCGGCCTATTGCAAATTAATTACCTTTGTTCACATTCCCGCTGTTTTGTATCACCCCTAAATCCCAACATATCTCTTCCCCTCAAATTTGCATCCACCACCTTTATTGTTTTTTTTTCCTTTTTTCTTTTTTCTGTTTATCGTATGTTCTTACGATTTCTTTATCGTCATTAATTTTTCCACGCCCCCCCTCCCATTTGTAATATCCCACTGGTGGTTTTCTCTATTGCGGCCGTGTGTACAACTTGCATAATTGCTTCCGCGGCACACCCATTCCCCGCCTCTTGCGTCTCACCCCTCTTACAATGTCGACCCAGTGTGACTTCGGACCATTCTCATATTCTGCACCAATTCTTACTTCTTACCGTTGCCTTCCTCCTTGGCCCACGAGACTGCATCCTCTGAACAACAAGCCGATCGATTGACGTAAGTAGCAGCGTGCTGGCGAGGAAAAGGTACATTGTCAGTCATTCCTTCTCAGCGAAAAAGGGAAGTCTAGCAGTCCGCGCTCAGTGAATGAAAACCAGAACGTTCTCCGGGCACCAATGCAGTAAGGTGACCGAAGAACCCTAGATTTCCTTTACTTTGTTCTTCCTTCTTCATCATGCCGTGACGCCCCTGTCTTACTGTGAGACCACTTCTCCTAGGTACCTTTTGATATTATTTATGGCAGTTTTGTAGTTATTTATTAGATTTTGTGTGTGTTTCAGTTTTTCTCTCAGTTCACGTCGAGCGCCGTTATAGAGAATGCCGGATCATAAAAGTTAAATGGGCGTCAAATGAACAACCACCCCACTATCGCCCGTTATCATTACCCCCTTGCTCGCTTTTTTGTTTTCGTACCCCTTCCCCCCCTTCCCTCCCTTTTTTCCCGCGAGCCATACCTATGAGACTCAATATCACCACTATCTTTATCCTTTTTCTTTTTCCACGCAATACTAAATTCTGAACCCTTTTTAGTTCATGGTACATTGTCGCAATATCTGAATTTCACTCTACCCGGATTCCTTTTTCCTTTCTTTGGTTGATACACGCGTTGCGGTGGTGTCATTTTTTCAGTACGACACCTTATCTGCAAGACATCTACCAAGCTCTCCAGTTGGCTCCGCAGTACACGACGAGGTGGCTATGTGGAATTCAGTCCGAAGCCTAGTATAACATTAATATGTGCTTATAGTTAGTTTTTAAAAATTATTTCAGAAAATCCAAATTGGGTTGACAACGACAAGCAGCTACATTTGATGTCACTTGGCCGTTGCATAATGACCGATATGTTACCAAGACGACCGCGCCGAGAAACTAAGCTCTGTCTGCGAAGAAAATGTGTCATTTCACAGCCAAAGAGAATCAGTAGGAAAGAATTCTAAAGAATTTTAAGCGCATTTTTGATTCAACAGGTTGCAGACCCCACGATGTTGGAGCTTCTCTACGCAGATGTAAGTAAACACCATAACTACCAGAAACTCGAGAAGCTTGCCCTTGTGTTTGAAGCATGCGCACAGTCCACCTCTCTCTCTCTCTCTCCCTCTCCCTCCCCTCTCTTTCTCCTCTCTTTTCTCTTCGCTTAGGCAAAGAGAAATGTGCTAAAAGGACACTATCCTTGCTCAGAGGAGGATGCCATTGAATTGGGTGGACTCACCATGCAAGGTAAGGAAAGTGGGAGAGTTGGTGAAGAGAAAGCTAAAAACATACCCAGAAACCCCTACCCCTGAAATGAGGACCCTCTGAAAAATTAGGACATTTCTTTTCCCGAGAACGTTCTGCCACTTTAACGGCCCCAAAATAAGAACACCTGACTAATATCGACACTTCCTCCTATGCCATTCGTGGTTGAGGGGTTCCACAGTATTTCCACATTTCCAGGTGTTGTACGGAGACCACGTTTCCATGGTGCACCACAGCGGATTCCTTCAGGGACAGCTGGAAGAAGTCCTGCCAGTCGCAATGGCTACCCCTTCGCGGAGAAAGAGTGGAATTTGAACGTCGTATACTCGCACAACATCTCGAGTCTCAAAGTGTATCAACGTTCTCCGACAATGACCCTAGGTGAGAATACATGATTGTCACATGACAAACTAAACAATGAGGCGACCCCCTACTGTACTATTCAGGTTCACTCTACAAGCAGTACCTTCGAAATGCTGCCAGTGGCCTTTCTACGGAGCCGCATTCTTCCACGGTAGCCTAGCACAAGACCTTCCCCTACCAACACAGGTACAGTTTACAACTTTAACCCTGACTGCCACAGTAGGCTGGCGCTATAAATTGTTTTTTTTTTGGTAAATAGGTCAAAATACATCGAAAGGCGACGTTCTATAAACAATAGCAGCACACGTCCGGATTCCACCTCATCTCCTTGGAACAAATGTGAGGTTTTCTTTCAAATTTATCGCAGTTTTTGACCCATTTCTTTATAGTATAGAGTTTTATATGCACATTTTTTGTTCTTGTACATGTCGTGTATGTTCACCAAGGTGTGGAATGACATCCCTCTTCCCCCAAATTATTTCCTTAGTGGTTCCTTTTCTCTCTAGTCCCTCAGTCTGTGATACAAAATCACTCAGTAACGACTAGTAAGATTGGAAGCACTGCTGAAAAAACACTGCGTGCAGCTGTCAAGGAGCGACCCCAAAACCTGCACGTCCAGATAAAAACAGAATGGTACGAGAAAAAAACCTGTTATTGTTTTAAAACGAACCCAACTTTCTAAACAAAGGCTGACTCTTCTAGTCCCTCGTTCACGAATGTCTGAGCAGACCTCAACCGTTCCAATGGCAACACAAGACAACAACGGCACCGCACACAAGCAAAATGATGACGGTCGAACTATATAAATTAAAGCTGATGATCTTTTGTCAACATGTAATGCAAACTATTATGTGGAATATAAAATAAAATAAAAAAGCATGGGAATCGCATAACGTGTGAAAATATTGGGAGCTGTGCAACGATACACTACAAGATAGGACAGTGATGTTAAACAGGAGTGATGTTGAAAGGTGAAAAAAAAGAAGGAAGCCACTAAGTGAAAGGTGTATATGCAAGAGAAGTACATAGGCTTTTGTCACGGGATGGAGTAAGAAATTAGAAAGATGAAGTGAAAAAGTATATATCAAAAAACTATGTGTTTAGTTTGGAAAGGACTGTACTCACTGATAGCAACCATACCCGAACCTGGGTCCAATCTGGGAACGAAGAAAGGGCCCATAATGGTACTTACATCACAATAATAATGAGGAAAGTTTTTTTATGTATACAGCTACAAAAAACAGTAAAACTGGAAAGGCAACTGGTGCAGAGTTCAAAGTGAACAAAATTCAAACAAAATGAAGACCGTAAGAAAAAAATTTAAAGAAAGAATCTAAATTGAGATAAAGTCAACGACCATTCATCCACTGGTCATGTGATCCTACATCAATCAGTGTCAGTTGCTCGGCAAAAACAAATCTATGAATGGAGGCGTGATCAAGATGTATATATTCCAAACCAGGCCACCAGATTGCTGTCGCCCCCCGTGCAAACCCAGATCCCACGCCTCCACTGAACAGTCCGTCTGAAAAGTCCCTCTTCTCGCAGCGGCCTCGGCATTTGAACTTTGACCTCCAAACATACGTTCGCAATTAACTCATTCACGCCTCAGCAACCTACGAACCAGAGACCTAATACATAAACTGTAAGGGGAGATTGCGTGAAGGTATTCAACATGAGTTGGCAGACTCTCCTCCACCCAATTGCCTGAGAAAAGTATGAAAAATGTTGTTTTCCCACTCACTGGAGGTTTCTTCGATAGCAGTTAGCAGCTGACTCTGTACGTTCTTGCGTCCACGCTGGAGGGGGCATGGTAAAGGGTGTAGCACGGTTAGCGAGGTATGGGACGGAGATTTATCGAGAGTTTGATGGAATCTTTCCAAAATAATCTATACACCGATTACTGAAAAGAAAAAAAAAAAAAAAAAAAAAACACCCAACAACACAATTCATAAGCAATTAAATATGATACTGTATAAATAAATACAAATAATAGTAAGTAAACAAGGGCGCAAGGCAAAGCAGAAGGCCAAACAACATAACTCTAACAGGAAGGAAAAAAAGAGTTGCCCTGGGTGGGATTCGCAACCCACAGCGCTCTGCAGTATATAAGACAGAGCGCTCTACCGCCACCAAGTACCAGCGAGTTAAACATTCACAAGAGCTCACCAGGGAGACAATGACCAGGATTGACGAAACTCCACAGTACATCTCACAATGGCAAAAAACATGGAGTGAGGTCGCATGTCAAGTGTCTTTGTTGACATTGTAACATGGAGGAAAGAGAGAGCTCATGTGACCATAATGTGACTGTCACACAATCCTTAAAAAGAAAAACTATACAAAGGATTTGCATCCGTCTCCAAATGAGCAAAAAAATAGTGCGTGAGAGTTTTACAGGAAATGGAAAAATGATTGATGTCATGTGACCATCATGTTACTAACAGCGCACAACAGCGGATCAATGTCTTGCAGCTCAGCTCCACGTCGTCCCTCAAGTGGTGGTCATGGAAACAATCCCTCTCAATGAACCTGCGGAAACAAAAGTCAAAACTATCGGCACAACTTTTTAAATAGACGTTGGTACATTTTGCGCATGCACTTCTTTTATGCGAAATTATTTTGCGCACCTTGCGTCCGCTTGTCAATAATGTACTGCGCCCACATATATACCTAGAATATCTTCGAGGCCGGTGTCACTGTCACTTCTGGCGAAGGAGAGCGAGGGCACTAATAACAACAAGCAGCTGCCCTGGGAAGATGAAACAGTATTCCACATTTGATACACTTTCCGTTTGGATTACATAGCATACATACAGACATGTAGATAAAAACCAAAATTTCTGTACTTTGTCAACTCGGGTGGGCGGCTTTCTTTCAATTAGTCAAAACTTCCTCACATATCTGTATATTCAGAGATGAGAAGTAAGCGGTTGAGTGTAAAAAAAACAGGTTTGACTCGCCTTTTCTTCTGGTCGACAGGACCGCAATCAGCACCATCCTGTTTGAGCCTGTAGCATGACTTGGTTGAACTGCTTGGGGTGTCCCTCTCTCTCCTCCCCCTTCTCCCCCCTCACCAGTACATAATCCAATCCCGGCGTGTCGGCTATCCGCTGTATAAATGTGCATACGATATGCAAGTCACGTGACAGGACACATGATGCTTGTGCAGTCACATGACTACTCATGTGATCAGTAATACGTAAATACCATCAGAGTCATTGTTTGGTTCGGAGAGCTACAGAAAATAAGAAAGAATGTACATATAATTATAGTGCTTGTGAAGTAGCTAAAATCTACAAAAATTCTGGCTATATTGCTCACTGGACAGGAGTGGATTTAGTCTTCTGAGGTCAGTTGCTGGTTTCCCTGTTGACCACTGCAAATGAACAAACAGCAGGGAAGAATCGTTGCAAGAAGGGGAGTGGCCAATAACAAAATAGCTTGTAAAGCGCGGAATTTTCAAGGGAGAAAAAATGTTGTGATTGGAGCAAATAAAGATAAACAGCACTAATTTGTGATTGTAGAAAATAGGATAAGCAGCACTAACAGATCACAGATGAATGGCTAACTCTGCAGTTTGCTTTTTCTCTCAAAAATCTACCACCTAAGAAACGTACATTTTTAGGGTGAGTGACTTGGAAAGTTTAGCATCTAGGGCGCTGGTAGCATCGGTGGATGGTCTCTTAGCTGGCCGAACTGGAAGACAAAAAAACAAACAAACAGTGGACATAAAATGTGTCACAAAAGATACGAGATAAGATAGGAGATGTTTGGGAAGCTAACCTGAGTCTAGCTTGTCAGGCCGGTCTTCCTGAAAATGAAAACAAAACCCCGTTGTGAAAGTGTAAAAAATCGCGTCAAACTGGATTGTGAAACCGGTCTACCGACCTGAGGAACTTGTGCCAGAGCAGCTCGCCGGCTGTGATTCTCAACTTTGGGTCCTTATGGAAACACCTGGAAGAGAAGGGGAGAGGGAGGAGAGGAAGGAGAGGGAGGAGAGGAAGAAGAGGAAGGAGAGGGAGAAGAGGGAGGAGAGGGAGGAGAGGGGGAGAGGTGGAGAGGAGGAGAGGAGAGGAAGGAGTGAGGTGGAGAAGCATCGTGAAACATGAAACAGCTTACCACAAAACGCTACACACTGCAAAACTTAGCATTTCGTGCAGAAAGCCAGTGGTTGGTTGTGTGTACATACTTTTCACAGAAGCATTTTGCAGCTGCAGACATGGTCTCCGGGACATCCGGATGACGTTTGAAGTTACCCACCACGAATAATGCTGCCATAGGATTGCCCAGCTGAGGGGGGGGAGGAGGACAACACGTACATTATTAACCACATACTCAAGAGGAGTATGTAATACCAACACAGCATTAATGTGTCCTTACGTACTCACTTCATAGAACGGTGGTTTTCCGGTCGCCATTTCTACCACAGTACAACCCAGTGACCATATATCAGCCTACAGAAATTGAAACACCGTAAGTTTAAACTTTATCAATAATAATATACTCACAAATGAGACTTACGGGAGGTCCGTAGCCTCTCAGTCCCGACTGGATCACTTCCGGGGCCATGAACTGCAGCGTACCTGAATAATGGGATCAATCTTTGCGATCAACAAATACACTTAGAAAAATCACACTTAGCACAGTATAAAGTGCGTATCTGGCATATGCCGCACGCAGCGCATCGCAATACAAAACTGGAGAGTCATCTCAATGTGAATTTTTGTGTTACGGGCACTGTAATACAAATATACGCACGCGAAAAAGTGAACTACTTTTACTACGTTTGCTCGCCTTGAATTAAGTCCCGTACAAACTCGTCCACCCACCTTTAAAAGATTTCGTCTGGTCCTGGAGTCCAGCCAGTCTCTTCGAGGTCCCGAAATCCGAAATCTTCAGGATTCCAGTGTACGTGTTGATGAGCACGTTGTCTCCCTTTATGTCTCTGTGGACGATGCGGTGGTCGTGGAGATACTTGATCCCCACTATGATCTGCCGGGTGTAGTGGATTATGGTGGGTTCGTCGTCTTTTAGTGGCCCCCACTTCTGTCTCAGGAGCTTCGAAAGACTGCCTGTGTGAGTGGGGAGGCAGGGGTTCATTTAGGGGGGCAGGGGGGCACTCGCTCCCTTGATTCACTTTTACCCCTCTCAGAGTTTGAATGAAGCTTTTAATTGAGGAACATTCCACATTTCTATATTACTGCAAAATGACTGTTCTCCGGGAGAATTCTCCATAAAATCTTGAACACGTTTCCCTCTGTCATAACTTCCAGAAACTTCCTTTATATACTTTCCCCCTCCCTCTCTCCTTCCCTCACACACAACCTATGTACACACGTACGTACCTCCGGGCACGTTCTCCATGAATATCTTGAACACATTTCCCTCCCCACTCTCCTCTCCCATCAGGACAAAAGGAAAAGAAAAAATAAGGAAAAAAAAAGAGAAGAAGGAGGAGAGAGAGAAAGATAAAATAGAGAGAAGAAGGAAAAGGGGAAAGTGGGGAAAAAGAAAAGTCAGAAAAAAGAAAAAAAGAGGAACAAGAAAGAAGAAAGAAAAAAAAAAGAAAAGAAAAGAAAGACAGGAGGAAGAGAAGAAGAAAGAGAAAAAAAAAAAAAAGACAAAAAAAAAAAAGAAGAAGAAAAAGAAGGGTAGAAAAAGAGAAGAAAGGGAGAAAAAAATGGAGGGAAAAAGAAGACAAGGGAGGAAAAAGAGAGGAGAAGAAGAAAACACTGAGTGAGTAAAACAAGAAAAAGGGAAGAAAGAAAAGAGAATTAGAAAAAGAAAATAAGGAGAGAAAAGAAGGATAGAAAAAAAGAAAACAGGATACAGGAAAAAAAATAGAGAAAGAACAAAAAGAATAAAGAGAGAAAGAAAGAGAAGCGAAAAACAAAAAGAAAACAGAGAGGAGCAGAAAGAAAAAAAGAGGAATAGGAGAGAAAAAATAAGAGGACAAAGGGGAGAAACGAAGGAAATAGAAAGGGGAGAGGAAGAGAGAAAGAGAATAAGGAAAAGAAAGGAAAAAAAAAAGAGCAAAAAAAAGAGGAAAGGGGAAAGAGTATAAGACGAGAAAAGGAGAGGAAAAGAGAAAAAAAAAACACCTAAAAAAAACTAAAGAAAAAAGAAAGTAGAAAAGAAACAAAAAGACAAGTGGAGCAAGGGAAAAAACATAAAGTAAGGAAGACGCAGAAAAGACAAAAAAAAAAAACGAAAAACGGAGTAGAAAAAAAAAGGAGAGGAAAAAAAAAAGAGTAGGAGAAGGAGAAGAAAACAGAGGAGGAGAGAGGGAAGAGAGAAAGAAAAAAATAAAAATCAGACAACGAAAAGAAGAAGAAAAGAGAGGAAAGGTAAAAACATGAAAGAAGAAGGATAAAGAATGAGAAAGAGCAGAAAGAAAGAGAAAAAAAGGAAAAAGAAGGTGAGAAAAGAGAAACAAAGAAAAAAGAGAAGAAATAGAAGGAAGAAAAAAAGACAGGGGGAGGGGAAAGAAGAGAGAAAAAAGGGAAGGGGAAGATGAGAAGAAGAGAAAGAAAAAGAGGAGAGAAAAATAGAAGAAAGAAAGACGAGAAACTGACGAGAAGAAAAGAAAGACACTAGCTAAACACGGACCCCTGCCCACCCTATCAGCCACCCTGCCTCCTTCACATCCCCAAAACCAAACTTCCCCCGGGCATAACTTCCAGAAACTTCCTTTATATACTTTCCCCCTCCCTCTCTCCTTCCCTCACACACAACCTATGTACACACGTACGTACCTCCGGGCACGTTCTCCATGAATATCTTGAACACATTTCCCTCTGTCATAACTTCCAGAAACTTCCGTTATATACTTTCCCTCCCTCTCCCCTTCCCTCACACACAACCTATGTACACACGTACGTACCTCCGGGCACGTTCTCCATGAATATCTTGAACACATTTCCCTCGGTCTTGGCCCCGTAGTATTGCACTATGTTCTTGTGCTGCAGGTGCCTGTGGAGCTGAATCTCTTCCTGCAATGCCTGAAACTGACTAGAAAAAATGAGAGAGAAGTGAGGCAACAAACCAAGTACAAAAACACTGAACTTGCTATACTGCATGAAAATGATAATTATTCTCTTATTCACAACATTATATCACCTGTCACATAATTATGATTTTGTGTAAATTTCGTGGGAGTATTTTGTACTGAAATAAAACAGGTTGTACAAAAGTTCTTCCCCAATATAAACTTGGAGACAGCGCTTCTTGGGGGTAAAATTATCAAATTATTTGCTATCTTACAATGGGACTACTGGTGTGGCCAAATGCTTTAACCCCTTGAAAAACTGAATTAACCCCAAATGCACTATATTACGGCTTACCCGGAATCGCTCTCCTTAATCTCTTTCACGGCCATCTTTCTCTTGGTGACCGAGTCGACCGCGGAATACACCGTACCAAACGCTCCTCTCCCCAACACAACACGCTCCCCTGGCGACGGTAACACGCTAAACCGGTTTAGCGAGAATACAGGACTTGTTTTACCGGTTTTCTCGTCCAGTTCGTACTCGTACTCTGTGACCTGGTCGGGGAGTTCGGTGAGGGGGTGAGGGTGGGCGGAGTCAGCAGTGAGGGATGACGTCACCAACTCACAGAACCTGGCCATATTGAAAGTGAAACACAGTTTTTATCACAGTTAATCCGTCAAACAAGAGTTCAATTTTGCACGAGTTTCAATATGTGTATTAGTATATAGACCTGTTAACACGAGGACCTGTTCGTAACTGATTTAGTTTACGTGTAAACTGGGCTATAGACATTTTTAGGAGACATACCTACATTTTTAAAAGGAGGAAGAGAAGTAGAAGAGATGAAAAGACGCCACATTATACACGCTAAAAATATGCACTCTTCTAATACGCATACCGTACGTTACGTTACGTACCGTTCACATTGGGCCTCGGAAGAGAAAAAAATGTGGAAATCGTCGCTGAATTTTGAGACGACGTATAGAAACGCTCCTCTGCTGTCTCTCTTGTTTATACTACGAATCATAAAAAAATTTATATTGGAGACATAGATACACGTGAAATATGACAAAAAATTGAGTGGCAATTATAAACACTAAATATTTTCATGTGCGCTATTACACATCTTCATAATGTACTGGTACTTTCGCTTTTGGCGAAATCACCAAATCGTCCCATTAAAAAAGTAGGACACTAATAAACATGTTGTAAATTAGAAATTAGACACAAAATATTTTACCACAGCCTCTTGTCACATGTACCTGATGTTTCTGACACATGACAGCTCATACGCCCACTCGTGGATCTCCTACAATGCAAGAAATGATACGTTCACTCATAATTATTATTATATAACACCACGTCACTCTGGACGTGTCACTTACTCCCTGTGCGGACTTCGGATCAGTGTGCCAGATCTGAATCTTCTGCAATGTCGACATAAACACTGGTCAATAGAGAGTACATTATATTGAAAGTGAAAGTGCAGAGGAGTGTATTGAAAGTGAAAGTGATTCCTCATTACCCCAGGGGTGGTTTCATTAGCTGGGTGGAAGACAATGTGACTTGGTATGTAGATAAATTCCTTCCTTTCCTTCATATCAGGTTCCATCAGTAGCACCTATACATAGACAAGAGATACATATAGAAACCTGCATACAGTAAGGTGTATTAAACATTTTGTGGAAGGGAGGTGAACAAGGTTTTAACTGCATTCACATGCATGCATATTAAACATTTTGTTGAAGCAACTCTAATATCTTCGGAAGCAGTTTACTTGTCTCCTCTCTTTTTTTTTACTGCATTCACATGCATGGTGTGCGATACGAAGGGAGAGAGAGAGGTGAACAAGGGAATAAAAAAGAGGAGGAAGAGGGAGGGTGAGGGGAGAAAAGATGGAGAAATGGAGACAAAGAGAGAAAGAGGTGAGGGTGAGAAAGATGGAGAAATGGAGGCAAAGAGAGAAAGAGGTGAGGGAGAAAAATAGAGAAAGAGAGACTACTCACGGGGAACATTCCTCCGGTCATGTCGGTGTTCTGGGTCTCCATGAAGAACTCCATCCAGAACGAGAAACTCGTCGTGTCGGGTCTCTTGGTCGTCGTGTCTCCTTTGTTCTGGCGCCTCTTCTCTCTCATCAGTGTTATCAGCTGGATATTGCCTGCAGTCGACTTCAGGTACCTGTATACAGTACAGTAGGTACATACACGTATGTACCTGTATACAGTACAGTAGGTACATACACGTATGTACCTGTATACAGTACAGTAGGTACATACACGTATATACCTGTATACAGTACAGTAGGTACATACACGTATGTACCTGTATACAGCACAGTAGGTACATACACGTATGTACCTGTATACAGTACAGTAGGTACATACACGTATGTACCTGTATACAGTACAGTAGGTACATACACGTATGTACCTGCATACAGTACAGTAGGTACATACACGTATGTACCTGTATACAGTACAGTAGGTACATACACGTATGTACCTGCATACAGTACAGTAGGTACATACACGTATGTACCTGTATACAGTACAGTAGGTCCATACACGTACAATGAAAAAGAGAGCTGTGATATTAGTCAATAGAGTTATAAAGAGCCTTCGGAGGCAAAGAAGATCACCCATCGCTTACGTATCAACCTACAAGTTGGTTAATCCTAGTCGGTTTATTGCATCAAGGGTGAAATTGTATATACCTAAAATTTAAAATTTGCTCAAAAAATGAGTTCAAAGTACATCCTACACGTAGATGTCTAGAGATGGTGGTTTTGTGTGTTCACGCCCCACCCAGGGCAGCTCTTATTTTCTTTCTTTCCTGGGTGAATTGTGATATGCACCATAAACATGGTACATTACAAAGTTTGCACCTAATACGCACTCACCACAGAGGAGGCTTCAACTTGAACATGCAGAGAGCGGCCTCGCAGGCCCTGGTGTAGTCGCGAGCCAGGATGCTGACCTCGAAGAACGTGGCCACAATCCAGTAGTCAGACTGGGACTGAAGACTGCCCTTCTTACCAATCAGGTAGTTCAGGGTCGACCCTGCAATGATATAAAGTCGAACCCCTGTGATCCACACACCAATATGGGACAGAAAAAAGCGCAGTAATAAGTAATATAATACATAAGTACAGTGGAATCTCTCTAATTCGGAAACCCTATATAGTTAGAAACCTAAGCCATGGCACAACTTTTAAAGGTTCTCTATACATGTAGAAGTCTAATCAGAGAAGGTTTATAGGTTTTGCGGCTGGTGAACAAACAAGGGGTTATTTTGCCACCCTCTGAAACAAATCTCTGGCAACAACTATGGTAGTACAAGCAAGTTAGTTGCCACGGTGATGCTAGGCCACACCCCAAATAAACAACGGACCGATGTCGTGCAGTTCCTGACAGGTCTCGAACTCCTGTCCGGAGATGACGAGGAGGGTGGCCAGGTTGATACCGGCGTACTCGTTCGGCTGAACCTTGAACCCTTCTCTGTACCTGCGGCACAAGATAATGATAATGTATTGTTGGTATTATGATAATAAAGGTTTTGTACTGTCGGCTGTAAATGTGGTCAGAAAGTTTTAGTGAGCGAAATGCTAGGCTCCAAAAATGTGCAGTATTACAGAGCGCCTAGATATCGTTAAAAATTTGAGAAGAGGCTCCAAAATGTATTGACGCTCGCTACTTGAACTGACGGGGTGACTCACCAGTGAATGGCATTCTGGAGGGCGTCCTGGTCGCTGTGCTCCGAGTCGACAAACCTGTCCTTGTGGATCCTCCCACACAGACACAGGTAGTCCGGAACGTGGTTCTCTTTCACCGACAGGACCTGTGTAGCAATGAGATTCACGTACGTATGAAGTCTTGAGTCTGGTTCATTATATGTCGTAGGAGCCAGAAACACGTCGCTACATATGTACTTCAGATACAAAATCGTCCTAGTGGGAATGGTGGGGTATAATGTATGTAAAGTGCTAGGGCTATAGCTTTAAGTTTAAAGTTTAAGTGTACTGTTACTCTAGCTATAGTCGAAATCGGTTAGTTTTCATCTTTTTCGAGGTTTAGAGGTGTATGTATAAATTGCATGGACAAGAACTGTTTTGTGGGAAGAAAGGTGTGTTCGTCAGGGAGATGTCCTCATTTCAGGGGGTTTTTAGGTTCCACTGGTTACCTTCTCTAGCATGGCGAGTGCTCTGGAACGATCTCCCTCTTTGTTGCGACGGTTGAGAGCGAACGCACACTGGACTTGTACGGCTGGTTTCTCCGCCTCCTGGTGGCCAGTGATTTTGTCTACCAATGATATCATAGAGTCATAGTCCTGAGAGGAGAGGGAGAGAGAGAGGAGAGAGAGAGAGAAATAGAGAGAGAGGAAGTTTATTTGCCACAGAATCGTGAAAGGTTTGTGTGACATGAGTGTGTCAACGATTTAGCATTTTTTGTAGACACATGAGTAGAAAAAGAGACAAACCAACTATCCTTAATACTTTTGCTACAGTTGGAGTATGGAATGGTACCATCTTCTATCTCGCTGCACCTATCCCAGTCTCGCCCAAATTTGGCGTCCTCCCCTACCTGAGTGTGTCAACGATTTAGCATTTTTTGTAGACACGAGAGTAGAAGAAGAGACAAACCAACTATCCTTAATACTTTTGCTACAGTTGGAGTATGGAATGGTACCATCTTCTATCTCACTGCACCTATCCCTATCTCGCCCAAATTTCACTGTCCCCCTATATAAAGGTGTCAACGATTTAGCATTTTTTGTAGACACAAGAGTAGAAGAAGAGACAAACCAACTATCCTTAATACGTTTGCTACAGTTGGAGTATGGAATGGTACCATCTTCTATCTCGCTGCACCTATCCCTATCTCGCCCAAATTTAACTGTCCCCCTATATAAAGGTGTCAACGATTTAGCATTTTTTGTAGGCACAAGAGTAGAAGAAGAGACAAACCAACTATCCTTAATACTTTTGCTACAGTTGGAGTATGGAATGGTACCATCTTCTATCTCACTGCACCTATCCCTATCTCGCCCAAATTTCACTGTCCCCCTATATAAAGGTGTCAACGATTTCGCTTTTTTTGTAGACACAAGAGTAGAAGAAGAGACAAACCAACTATCCTTAATACTTTTGCTACAGTTGGAGTATGGAATGGTACCATCTTCTCTCTCACTGAACCTATCCCTATCTCGCCCAAATTTGGCGTCCTCCTCTACATGTGTATCCAGACCTGAATATCTCTGTAAGAGAGGAGAACGCTGTAGATTATGTCTCCAGTGAAGAGTTTAGGGTCTTCGTCGATCCACATAGTCAGCTTGTGAAGCTCCGCCTTTAGCTCCGCCCCCTCCTTCATCTCCCGGACTTTCCTCAGGTGTTTGTAGAACATCTCTTTGTGGTTCTTCCTAATGTGAAGATTAGAGAGACGGAAATCAGTATATACACAAATATGAATATGGGGACGACACTTAATTCTTGAAATTGGGAGACGATGTGCATAGCCAATGGACACGAATGTATCAACTGGTGTAACGTGTTGATGTCTGGCTTGTTAGCTAGTTAAACTTGCGTGCAGTGTTCATGAATCAAGGAGTTGTACATAAACACAGGCTCCTTCTGCTGTGCACTTTACGTAAGTCCCGGTTTAAAGTATATAATACCCTACATATAGTTAAGTATTACCCTACATATAGTTAAGTATTACCCTCCATCTAGTTAAGTATTATACAGTACACTGAACTAGTTCTGCATGTCTGCTCTGGTGTAGCTGACCTGTACGCAGTGTGCATGTCTTGGAGGATGTGTTTGAAGGTCTTGTAGAGAGGGACGGCCTGGTTCAACGGTGAACCGCCTTCTCTGGAGAGAGTGTGGCCTTCAGAGTCGACTGAGTATGTGATGTACGAGGTTCCTGCTAGCCTTGCCTGGGAGGGAGGGAGAGGGGGGGAATGCTTTTGGCTACCATAAATCCACCTATATACACATGTAAGTTTGCAAAATGAAAAAACAAGGAGCGAGAATTTCCGATTTGTTTTACTAGCTCCATCTTCTATCAGTACTCCTGGGTTTTCCATCAGACACACAGTAACATTTCTAGAATGGCAAATCAATACAAGTTCCTACAGCAGTGTTATACAACCTTATGACACAATCAACATAAGAGAGGAGAGGGAGTAGGGCTCACCATTGCAGCAGGACCGTTCCCACCGCCCAGTGCAGGCTCGCTGAACGTAGACTGGCTCTCCAAAACCGTCACCACGTTGTTCTTCATGTCGAAATTCTCTCGGAGTCCCAGCTGGTAGAACAGTGCCGCCTGCATGTGTCGCTCCGTCACGTCAACGACGGCAACGTTGGCCGCGTAGAACTTGTCCAGCGTCGCCGTCTCTCCGTAGTCCAGCTTCTCGAAAGGGATCCGTTGTAGCTCCGTCTGCATTAGCTGGCCCGCAGCGGCTTCCAGCGCCGCGAAGGCTCTGTTCCCTTTCGTATTGTCCGGGAACACGGCCACCACGGTCTGCATCTGCTGCTGCTTGGAGGATCCAGACTTCTTCTGCCCCTGCATCGCTCGTGCAGGGCTGGAGCCGCGCCTAACTGCCTTCTCTTTGGACGCCATATATTTCCTACCCTTATTAGTGCGCACCTTTATCGGCGCATGCGCATATCTAATATTGCATCAGCTAGCTTGTCACGAGATCGACCTCCGAACACATCGTACTACACGCGCCCCTTACTGACTACTTCTCGTGTAAGGTCACTGTTCTGCTATAAAAGAAGAGCTGAAAGTAGCAGATCTGTATCTAGAGAAGCGACTCTGACCCTCGACGAAAGCCGTTTGAAACGCTAGCAGGAGACAACCGAGATGACTTCTGTCGAAGTTCAATCCCCGCCGCCTCCCCCGCCGGACACGGAGGGAGAGAGCCAAGCCCCGACCTCGAGCACCGGCGAGGAAGGAGAGAGCCAAGCCCCCACCTCGAGCACCGGCGAGGAGGGCGCCCCGGCCTCCACGTACGAGTGGCTGGCCAGCGTTCCCGTCCTGTCGAGCGCAGGGAGCACGGTGTACGGATGGTACGAAGGCTCCAAGAACTACACCCGAGCGTCCAAGTACGCGCTGGACAGCGTCGAGTCTTCCGTCAAGTACGTCGCCGACACTGCCGCTAGCGTCGTAAAGGGCCCAAGTAAGCTTCCGTCTTGTTATTGTGTGCATGATATCATACGTATGTACTTCTTCGTTGTTTTTCTTTCGTTTTCTTAGTTACCGTTGTTGACTCATTTGCCGTGAAGCAGTTGGTAAAACTGGAAGAGAAGGTCCCTGCCATAAAGACGGAAACGGAAGACGTATTGGAGGCACTCGACGAGCAAAAGAAAGCCGTCTACACCCGAATCTCCAGCGGAAAAGACGCCATCACCACTCGCCTCGTGACCGGGAAAGACGCTCTCGTCGACCGTCTCCACGCCGGTACCGAAGCCGTGACCAAGTCTGGCCCCGCCCATCTCGTTAGCAGCGGGGTAAACCGCACCCTCAAAGCCACGGAGAACATCGTCGACTATCTTCTCCCGGAGAAACCGGAAGACGCCTCATCGAGCAAAGAGAAGGAAACCGAGCTGAAGGTGTCGGGAGAGGCCGAGGACTCCAGCGACGAAGAGGAAGAGGAGGGAGAGGAAGGGGAGAAGGGGGAAGAGGGGAAGGACGAAACGAGTGCCGAGCGAGTGAAAAACATCTCCCGAAAGGTGAAGGTTCGTGTATACTACCGCACCCTTCATCGTCTGGACACGGTTCAAGAGCAGTGCATGACCACGTTGGAACATCTCAAGACTAACATTGACCTGGTGAGTCACAAATTGTCCCTGAACCTTTTAGCTTTTGGACATATGTAGTATACACACCTCAGCTCCTGAACCATCTGTTTTCCTTCCTCCTTCTCTTTCCGAACTGCTGTGTTTTATAGTGGCCCTTGTGGGGTTGCGAGTACTATCGTGCAACATGAGAAATTTCCAGGTGGCTTGCGTTCTTACTCCCCTTCCCTTGGCTAGCCTTGCAGTCCGACAAAAGAAGCACAAACGAAGCATAATGAGTCTGCTTGCCGATGCATGTAGTGGCTATTGTCCTAATGTGAGACTATAGATGTCACATGGGTGCCACGTAACAAATACAAATTTGGCACTGGTGCACAACAGCTGCCTCATACACATACAGAGTTGAAAAACTTTGTGAACTCCGTAGCCAGGTTGGTGTACTTTGCATGCCAAGACTGAAGTATATATTCACCTGATTTTAATTTTCACTTTCATTATTTCACCAGCTGAAGATGGCCCATGGAGCGTACGATGAAGTTGACAAACAGTACAAACATCTACAGAGCTCTCTGCGCAGCATCCGCACGCATCTCGGCTCCCTCGTGACCACGCCCACCTCGTCAACATCCCAGGACCCCGTCGTTACTCTCCTTGACGACAGCGAAGAGGGCGGAGTCCAGCTGGAATCCATGACCCCCGAAGAGAAAGCCACGATGTTCCAGGGAGTGCTGGACTACGCCCGTCAGCTGAGCGAGAAGGTGCACACTGCGTTTCAGTCCGTCTCCTCCGCCACCTCGTTTCTCCCCCACCACCTCAAGAGTGGAGCCAGCCACGCTCTCCAGGTCTCCCAGGAACTTTACACAACCCTCAAATCGGTTAGTCTCTAAACACACACTTTTTTTTGGACATTCTGAGTGCATTGTGAATGGTACTGCTTTGCTATTAGAGCTCAGACATTTAGTCCAACTACACTCACTTGGAAACATACCAATGTTAGCTTTCCAAGGGCTTTCTCTAAGAGGTCATGTGCAAGACATGTGCCTTTATGCATTTTTTGCATGCCGATAGTAAAATTTTCATTTTTGTCATCTCTTGTTGACCAGGCTAAGGTGCCCACTGATATTCCGGCTAGCGTTCTGAACAAGACTTCTGAAGTGATTGACGCTCAACTCGGATACGTGAAACAGCTTGGAACATACATCAAGACTTCCCTCAAGGTATGGCATACTCAGCCATACAACCAACATCATGATCCTCCTCTGGCTTTTGACCTTACTATCTGATTCTTTGTGTGGTACTCAGATTTACAGTAGAATGTGTACTAGAAGTGTAGTAGAATGAGCAGTAGAAGGAGGTGACCTCCATAGGGAATATTATAGGTGACCTTTACTTACTCTAGACAGCACGCATGATGTAATGTCATGTGGTACAGCCTTATCTCATCTGTCCTTTGAGCCTTCTTTCGGATAAGCTCTTGCATGCACTAGTGCAGGTCACACTGTTGTCTTTTATATACAAGAATTAAAGTGAATAATAATCGAGCATCTGTATCCATTTCGCTGGGGAGCCTGACTAGATTTTCCATGCCCCTTAACAAACGCGAGTAAGGTTTTCGTGAGAACCTGGGAATATATAGACCCTTCACACAAGTATATACCTAACCTTGGCAAATTTTTAACACACAACTCACTCACATATTCTCCCATTACTCACCTCTCCCACATCAGGCCAAGGACAAGAATGAATCCACAGTGCCCACTGAGGTGAAGACTCTACTGGTACCGGACGAGGCAGAGGAAGACGGCAGCGACTCTGATGAGGGGGAGCCCCCCATATCTCGCCCCCTGGGGGGAGAGGGGGAACCTCCAATTTCTGACCCCCCAGGAGATGAGGGGGAGGCTGAGGCCAGCCTTGGTTCTGGGGATGAGAAATGAATGAGGACAACTGCGTGAACTAACTTGTGTATAATTATACCGTTTCGCTGACATTATTTTTTTGAGGACAGAAGAAACCTCAAAAGCCAAAAAATAAACGATACAATAGACAAGCAAAAAACAACAACAAACAAACAATAACAGAAGAGAAAAGATACACCCCTGCGCAGTATTATTACGCAACGCACGCATGCGCTTTGCGGTTTACGGAGGCGCGGCGGAAAGCATGGCTCTGTTACTAAAAGTCTCTTGATTTCCAAGCTCCATTGACGATTGTGAGTTTCAGTTTGGTTGAAATGACTGCAGTATAAGTATAGAGTATCTACATTGGTAGCTACGCGGCGGGGGAAAGCCTGCTGAGTTTGTATAGTAGCTGGAGAGCAGCTACAAGTGCAATAGAGTCGCGTATCCATTCACTGTAGGTGAAGTATGAGTAAGTCAGTGCTACTGCTGAGTCTCCTCTGGTCTCTGGTGGAGGTCCACTCTCAGACCTTTCCTTACGTCTCCTTCATGAGCCAGACTCTGGCCAACCATTCCTATGTGGACCTCAGTCAAGTGGGGAATGATCGTAGTGACAGTGTTCAGTGTCATACTGACCTAAGCACATGTTGTAGTAGTCTTCAGGGTTCTCAGCGTGGAGACTGGTATTTCCCTGATGGAACTAGACTGCCATTTCCTGGAGGTAGTGATATCTATGAGCAGCGTGGAAACGATAGAGTTGATCTACGTCGTCATAACAATCCAACCTCACCAACTGGTATCTATCGCTGTGATATTCCAACTATTGCTGTCCATGATGATGACTACTCAGTGAGAGACAGAGTGTCTATGTGGGACTGTATGCCTACCCTGGAGGTAACTACCTCATTGTTAGTTTCATGCTGGGTTTTGTGAGTTCAAAACTCTAATTGACAATGTGTATATTATACAGACAGAGCTAATTATGATTGTCACAACTGTTATTGCAGGAGATGTTGAGATATCGGGAGATATAGTCTATTCGGAGGTTTCAGACCTCAATGGACCCAGTCCTCAGTTCACCCTGGCCTGTATCTCCACTGGTGGACCTGCTACCAATGTCACTTGGATCAGAGACTCCACCACTGTCACCCAAGGAACCCAGACTGTGTTGAATGACCCAGTGACTGCACAGTACACCCACACTCTGACTGTGACTGGGAGATTGGAAGGAATCTATAACTGCAGCATATCCAATAACAAACCATCCAGTGCTTCAGCTGCACTAGTTGTATCTAGTAAGCCAACTGCTGCTAATTATTAACTCTTTATCTTTATAATTATACAGTTCCCTCACCTCCATCAAATGTACAAGTGTCTCAGAATGGACTGAACAGTGTACTAGTGACCTGGACACCATCGGGAATATATGTGACTGGCTACACCATTTTTTACCAGCGGCAGGGAGAACGGACTATATCCACCATAAGAGTTGGAAACATTACTAGAGCCACAATCAGTGGCCTTATAACTGGATCCACATACAACATAAGTGTATCTGCAGAGTCATCTATACGCTCCAGTAGCTTAACCCTTGCCCGAAATATCACAATAGGTATTGCCTAACTTGTTAGGTGTAAAAAATTGGCTAAGCTTGTATGAGTCGAACTGCCACAATGCCTCCTGCTAGTGACTAGTGAGCATTGATAAACATCCGTTTTCGTGAATGCATGACAACAGTAGGCATCATGGACAGGGCCAGCGTAGGTGTACTAAGACACCTGCAGTGAGATATTTTAGCTGCACTAAGTCACTTTATTAGGTAGCTGCTCCACTAACTACAGTTGTCTTTGAGTAGGTATCTAATCAAAGTTTCAGATGCATAAACTAGAATGAATCGCCAATTATTACATTCACTGAATATTTCTAAACAGAGCCAGCCAACATATCTCTGGTCTCCTCTCCCTCCTCCTCCATTGTGGCAGGAGATACTGCCACTCTTACCTGCACCATCTCCCTACCTACTGGAGTAACTGATACTCCATCATTTCAGTGGGAGGGGCCTGGTGTAATCCCTACTCCAACTGACCCCACCTCCAGTGGGAGGATGGTGTCAAGTACCCTAGTACTCCATGAGGTTGCAACATCTCAGGCTGGACTCTATACCTGTACTGCCTCCCTCAGAGGATCTATCAATACTTCTACCACCCTCATTGTGCAGAGTAGGTCCACCCACTACTTTAGGTGTTTACTCCAATCATGTTTCTCTCCACCATCCAGTTTCAACACCTACTCCATCCATTAGTCACAGTGTTTTGATAGCTGGAACTGAATCGAATCTAACATGTGACTATTAGTCTTGGTGCATATGTGGATTCTCATGTGGCAAAGAATGTTAGCTGGATGGTGAACGGCTCAGCAGTTGCCACAAATGGACGTAAAATAATCTCAAATAATGGACAATTTCTTTACTTCTCTCCAGTTTCAGTCTCTGATAGTGGTAGATACACGTGCCAACTAAGTCTTTCTGTACCACAGACACCATATGTGTCTGTACATGGGCCTGTACAGAGTTCAGATGTAGTCATTACCGTGGAAAGTAAGCAACCTTTGTGAGAAGAGATAAATTTTATTTTGCTTATATACCCTTATCCCTTGCAGTTCCACCTGCCCCAAATGTCATGGTCTCAACAACTGGACTCTCTATTGCTGGCCAGAGCTACACCTTCAAATGTACAGCTAGTGTAGTGGCAGGTCTGGTGGTAGAGCCTCACATGAAGATAGTTTTCCCCGACTCAACTGAGATACCATCAGACGCTACTAAAACACTAAATCACACATTCTCTTCTCTGAGGATATCTGATGGAGGCCAATACACTTGTACAGCCACTATCAACATCCCACAGGCTGGTTTAACTAACATCCAGTCTTCAGTAGCAAAGACTTTGGCTGTTGTGTGTAAGTAGGCCAAAAAAACCACATTTGCTAATTGTAGCTATAATGTACTGTACACAGATGCCTACTCAGTTGAGAGGTTTTGGTCCAGCAGAACAACAGGAACTTCTTTCACCTTCTATTGGAGTCCTCCAAGTATTGGAGCTCACCTCACCATTAACTATCACCTGAAGTGTGATCCTCTGTTGATTAATGTTCCACTTCGTCAGGCATTAGTGCAAGCTGCAAATACCTCAGCTGTTATAACTGATCTCCACCCTGGAGCCATCTACAACTGCAGTATCTTTACCGTTGGTCCCTTGGGAAACTCACAGCCAAAATCACAAAATATTACCACTCTTGAGGCTGGTAAAACAATTGCGAGATTTTTTACGCTTAACTTGGGTTTGTCTGTGTATAGTTCCCTCAGGTTCTCCAGAGATGTTTGGGGCAGTAGCTGGAGAGAGAGAAGTGGAGTTCTCCTGGTCTCCCCCACCTCCCACCCAGCAAAATGGTGTCATCACCAGCTACACCCTCTCCTGCTCCCCCTCCCTCCCCCAGTCCCCCTCCTCCCAGTCCTCTGGCTCTCTATCAGTGACTGGCTTCTCTCCCAACACTCTCTACTCATGTTCTCTGACTGCTGAAAATAGCCAGGGATCTGGTCCTCCTGCTACATACACCTTCACTACCCAGCAAGACTGTAAGAGATCTAACCGTAATGTAAAATAATGCGTTACTCTTTTCAATTTGTCAGATAATCTCTTTCAGCTGCGGCTCAAAGGAGTTTTGCTTTGCTCTGAAGTGATAGTAAGTGAATGTATAATTTTAAACATGTGTTCGTTCAAGTAAACTCTTATGTAGGCAACACTCACAAAGCAGAAGCAAGAAGACATTAAAGCTGAAATTGTGCATCAGCTTGATGCCTCTTGTCCTGACTGTGGCATTAGCGATGACATCATAAACAGACAGTCATTTTCCTGTTTTGAGGAATCTCCATCATTCCTGACATATCGAGCCAGACTGGAGGGGACGTCAGAGAGGGACAGTAGCTCCCTCATCTCTCTGATAGAGGCCTGGGTGAGAGGAGGCGGGGCCAGCGTCATTGTGACTGGAGTACTGATGACCGTGGACTCCCACTGCTCAGTGGCCATCTCTTCCCTCAGTGATCCAGAGTGCTCTAAACCTTCCCCACCACCCAATGAACCTAAACCTTCTCTCACCCAAACTCTGCCTCCCAGTATGACTCCGACCAAAGAGACTTCTACTGGTACAGAGGACCCTACTCTCTCCTCTCAGAACTCTGCTGCAGGAAATGACAATACTGCCGCCATCATTGGAGGGGTTGTAGCTACTGTACTCATCATTGTCGTTGCTATTGTCATTGTAGCTATTGCTGCTCTGGTCCTCAAGAATCGTCGACTGACTACAAAGACTGCTGAAAAGTTAGTTCAACGAAAAGTAGCTCCTGGTTTTATCAGTATGTAAACACATGTGCTAGATGGCATTAGATATACAGTCAATTTTCACTGTGAGTGAGGAATGCTATAGCTGTTGTTCCTCCTAACATACACTGGGCTACATAGTATAGCTCTTTACTTCATTCTCCCAGGTTTGAGATGAGTCTAGTACCAGGTTCGCCTGGACTCATTCCTACCTCCGCCAACTCTGCCTACCACACAGTAAAGCAGGAGGGGAAGGTTGCTGAGACATATGAGATCCCACTGAGAGCTGGGGGCGATGGAGGATACGATATTATCCTTTGTCCCTCACCTCCTCCTCCTCCTCCCTCCCAGCAGTCTCTCCCCAAACTCCCTGAGTCTGAGGAGGAGGTGTACGAAGTGATCCCTGGAGAGGACAACTGACTGGATGGATATTACGTTACTGATAGAGAGATAGTTAGTGGACTATTAGGTCTTGTAGGCTTCATGCAACTATTTTGTCTTTTACCAACACAGCAACACCCTCCTACCCAAATAAAAGTGTATACTAACCTGAATGAAAACTGGGTATATACCTAAATTGTGTGTACTCAAATGTACGTATGCTAGAATGCTGGTGGTGTGCGCACACACACTCTCGATCTCGGGGGGGCGTTACATCATGCGCATGCGCAATTTAAATTATCGGTGTTGCGTGTGCATTTGCGGTTATATATGCCGGTATGAATAAGTCAGTGGTACTGCTGAGTCTCTTCTGGTCTCTGGTGGAGGTCCACTCTCAGACCTTTCCTTATGTCTCCTTCATGGGCCAGACTCTGGCCAACCATTCCTATGTGGACCTCAGTCTAGTGGGGAGACCTGATGTTCCTGGTGGTGGTGAAGGTGTTCAGTGTATCACTGACCTGACCACATGTTGTAGTATTAATGAGGGTGCTCATCGTGGAGACTGGTATTTCCCTAATGGAACTAGACTGCCTTTCAGTGCATTGAACCATGATGTTGATACCTATGAGTTTCGTTTGGGTCAGGGAGTTGACATACGTCGTAACCGTCACATTAACTCACCAACTGTTGGTATCTATCGCTGTGATATTCCAACTAATGCTGTCCATGATGATACTGACACTCAGTGAGAGACACAGTCTATGTGGGACTCTATACTGCCAGTGGAGGTAACCACCTAATAGTTATGTCATGCTGTGTCTGTGTTGCTTAGTTTAGATCTCAGAGAATAAGTGGTGTATCAAGGCCAGGGCTGTTATGATTGTCACAACTGTTATCATAGGAGATGTTGCGATATCAGGAGATATAGTATACTCGGAGGTTTCAGACCTCAATGGAGCCAGTCCTCAGTTCACCCTGGCCTGTATCTCCACTGGTGGACCTGCTACCACTGTCACTTGGACCAGAGACTCCACCACTGTCACCCAAGGAACCCAGACTGTGTTGAATGACCCAGTGACTGCACAGTACACCCACACTCTGACTGTGACTGGGAGAATGCCTGGAATCTACAACTGTACTGTGGCTAATAACAAGCCATCCAACGCTTCAGTGACGAAAGCGTTTACACTGGAAGGTATATATGTGTTTCTTGCTATCCAAAAACAGTTTTTTTCCTCTGGACATTTTTTCTATAGCTCCCACGAATGCTCCAGAGATGTTCAAGGCAGTTGCTGGAGAGAGACATGTTGTGTTCTCCTGGTCTCCTCATGTGACTCATCTCCATGGAGCCATTCATAACTACACCCTCTCCTGCTCCCCCTCCCCCTCCTCCCTCCCCCAGTCCCCCTCCTCCCAGTCTGGGAGCCTCACTGCCACTGGCTTCTCTCCCAACACTATCTACTCATGTTCTCTGACTCCTAACAACCTCTGGGGCTCGGGGCCTCCTGCTAGAACTACCTTCACTACAAAATTAGGCTGTAAGCTAACAAGATTAATAGAGCAACCATTCACCACTGAAAAATCTCTCAGATACCTACTTTCAACTGCGGCTTAAAGGAGTGTTACCTTGCACAGAAGTAATAGTAAGTTTATCTATCAATTGCTGAGTTTTGATAATTATAGAGGCCTCTGCACTATAGGCAACACTCACAGAGCAGAAACTGGATGATGTTAGAGCTGCAGTATTGGAGCAGCTGGAGGCTTCATGTGCCGAATGTACTAGTGAAGACATAGACAGACAGTCGTTTTCCTGTTTTGAGGAATCTCCGTTATTCCTGACATATCGAGCCAGACTGGAAGGGACCTCAGCTACTGATAGTAGCTCCCTCATCTCTTTGATAGAGGCCTGGGTGAGAGGAGGCGGGGCCAGTGTCATTGTGGCTGGAGTACTAATGACTGTAGATTCACAGTGTTCAGTGGCCATCTCTTCTCTCAGTGATCCAGAGTGCTCTCCACCAACTACATCATCTCCTACACCTCACATTACCTCAAACTTCACCATTTCATCTACTCAGAGTTGTGCATGTGCTGAAAACACCCCAGCAATTATTGGAGGGGCAGTTGCAATAATTTTTATAACTGCAGCTACCATTATAGCTATAGTTGCTCTGGTTCTAAAGAATCGTCATCACACTATCAAGAAATCTTCAATGGAAGGGATTACTATACACACAGCTACTAATACAGCCTATGGGATGACAAAGAGAGAGCCAGTGGGGATAGGGGGTGCCCCTACCATCTCACCATCGTCAGATGTTGGACCGATTGAGGAAGAGAAGATGTATGAGATGATACCAGGAGAGGACAAGTGAATGTATACTGTAGGACTGTAAATTTGTTCAGTACTTATAATACTCTTTAATTAGACTCATGCACTATTCCCTCATATATACATTACATAAACTGTGCACTGTTTGTTTATATAGCTATACTCACACATCCTTTTCAGACTACAAGCAGATGCTCAGAAGGGGTAAAGTGATGCAATCAATTGTATAAATCGAGGCTGAGAGGTCGAAAGTAATGTTTAGAAGAATGATTGGAATCACAAACTATTCTTTGACAGCTAAAAGTATATTATACTGACAAATCCCCAGGTTCCTTAGACCATCCTTAAAACCATCTGAGCAATAGACAAGAGTCGATGAATGACAGAGATTTTTACGATCTAGTCTCAGCCATGCATGTGCCTTGAACCATGTCGTAATGCTAGTGGTTCAGTTTCCCATCACCATCACATGATGTCACCAGACTGGGAGAGAAGGTGGGGGCGAGTAGGAGAATGAGGGCTTAAAAATGCCTTTTAACCTAACTACGGCATGTTGTCTTTAACACTTCAGCAGATGGTGTTTCCTACATGTTTACGGGAAGATAGGTTAGCATTCTCCATTTTGTTTACTTTCCTTTCAACCCACAGTACACAAAACATTCATCTTAGAGATTTGTATATATAAGATTGCTTTATCTGCTAACTACTTGGTTTGCACTCGCACGTTGTGTCTGGATCCGGAGGAATCGTAAGTGGTATATACTGCTCAAAAATATCTACAACCCAGTTGAGTGAGTTTGTTATAATAATATATAGCTTCGATTTAGATATTTAGAAAGACAACTACATTAGTATGTGGGTGCTACTGCTGAGTCTCCTCTGGTTTCTGGTGGAGGTCCACTCTCAGACCTTTCCTTACGTCTATTTCATGTACCGGACTCTGCCCAACCATTCCCATGTGTACCTCAGTCAAGTGGGAGATGATTACTATTATGGTGATGGTAGTGAAGGTGTTCAATGTGTCACAGACCTGGCCACATGTTGTACTAGTGATCAGGGTCCTCATCGTGGAGACTGGTATTTCCCTAATGGAACTAGACTGCCATTTTCTGGAGATGGTGATATCTTTGATAGTCGTAAAACTCAGAGAGTTGATATACGTCGTAGGAACAATGCTAACTCACCAACTGGTATCTATCGCTGTGATATTCCAACTATTGCTGTCCATGATGGTAGTGACTACTCAGTAAGAGAGAGTGTCTATGTGGGACTGTATACCTACAGTGGAGGTAACTACCTCATTGTTATTTTCTGCTGGGTTTTGTGAGTTCAAAAATCTAATTCACAATGGTGTACAGTGTGAAGAACAGAGCTATATTTATGACTGTCTCAACTGTTGCAGGAGATGTTGAGATATCACAAGGCATAGTATTCTCAGAGGACTCAGACCTCAATGGAGCCAGTCCTCAGTTCACCTTGGCCTGTATCTCCGCTGGTGGACCTGCTACCAATGTCACTTGGACCAGAGACTCCACCACTGTCACCCAAGGAACCCAGACTGTGTTGAATGACCCAGTGACTGCACAGTACACCCACACTCTGACTGTGACTGGGAGATCGGAAGGAATCTATAACTGCAGCATATCCAATAACAAACCATCCAGTGCTTCAGCTGCACTAGTTGTATCTAGTAAGCCAAATGCTGCTAATTATTAACTCTTTATCTTTATCAGAGCGTCGGTAGACGCTCTATATAGGGATGACACGAGTGAAATCTCACGTGATCCGCGTACAAAACGCCTCAAAACTCAGCGAGAATGACTCACCATGGCTTCAAAATCACTAGCAATAGTCTAGAGGCCAATACCTAGCTATACATATGCCCCAAGACTTCCTACGTGCCCTCAGTTCCCCACCAGAGAATTCGCACTTACGCGATTTCGCGATTTTCGTGTCATCATCATCATCATCATATTCTTCATCTTCTTCTTCAGACCCGCTAGCTCCTTACCGGAAGCAGTTGAAGCGTTGATTTTTTCACAGAACGTCTCCAAATTTTCCGGAGGTGTGCACGCATATCAAGCGATCGTTTGTTTCTTGCCGCAAGTCACTACGGTAGATCGTTCAGTTCTTCCTCGGTAGTCACTGAACAACGCCATTTGCTGCTAACTCAGCATCAGTGAGCCGCATGCGCAGAGGAGGGCGTTTCCCCAATGCGGTGCGCGCGCATTTCGTGCGTGAACCTGGTGCACGAGACTAAGCCAGGATGCCTAGCCTGCAGAAGAATTCTTATCCTCCAGTGTCTTCTGTAAGTCAGTATACACATTTTAACTGGATAGCTTGCGTTTAGCTGTTGATTTGCACGAGGAGCAACTTGGCAGTGTGCGCCGTGTTACGCGGGCCTTGCACAGCGCCTTCATTCTTTGTCCCCCAGGTTATAGCTATCATTGTAGTCTGATTACTGAAGCCTGCCTATGAAACCACCCCACCATATGTGCCACAATCTAATTGCATCCTTGTTGGAGACACTACGCATACACTCTGCTTCAGGTAGGAGCAGCCCATTAACTTCTGCTTTCAACAGTTACCTCTACAACACCCATGAATATCAGAGTGACTGAAAATGCAGTGTTGTCATAAGGCGTGAAAAATAGTGGAAACAAGTGGAAAAATCATTTCTTCAAAATGAAAGGGGGATATAGGGATGGTTTGAAGCACCAAAAAGGAAGAAACAAGGGGTTATTACACAGCAAAGATGCACAAAGCTACATGACACCATCCCTATATCTTTGTGCTACTGTTCACAACCAATCTCGCCCTGCTGACATTTTCCTCCCTAATTGGGAAAGAGCCGCGCTTGACGTCTCCGTCATTTCCACTCTGCAACAGTTTACCTTGAAGTAAAGTTTAATATCAGACAAAGATATAGGGATGGTGTCATGTAGCTTTGTGCATCTTTGCTGTGTAATAACCCCTTGTTTCTTCCTTTTTGGTGCTTCAAACCATCCCTATATCCCCCTTTCATTTTGAAGAAATGATATTTCCACTTGTAATTATACAGTTCCCTCACCTCCATCAAATGTACAAGTGTCTCAGAATGGACTGAACAGTGTACTAGTGACCTGGACACCATCGGGAATATATGTGACTGGTTACACCATCTTTTACCAGCAGCAGGGGGAACGGACTATATCCACCATAAGAGTTGAAAACACTGCTGAAGCCACAATCAGTAGCCTTATAACTGGATCCATGTACAACATCAGTGTATCTGCAGAGTCATCTATACGCTGCAGTAGCTTAACCCTTGCCCGAAATATCACAATAGGTATTGCCTAACTTGTTAGGTGTAAAAAAATTGGCTTGTATGATAATTAGTCAAACTGCCACAATGCCTCCTTTCTGCTAGTGACTAGTGAGCATTGATAAACATCCGTTTTCGTGAATGCATGACAACAGTGGCCAGGGCCAGCGTAGGTGTACTAAGACACCTGCAGTGAGATATTTTAGCTGCACTAAGTCACCTTATTAGGTAACTGCTCCACTAACTACAGTTGTTTTGAGTCCCTCATAGTAGGTATCTAATCAAAGTTTCAGATGCATAAACTAGAATGAATCGCCAATTATTACATTCACTGAATATTTCTAAACAGAGCCAGCCAACATATCTCTGGTCTCCTCTCCCTCCTCCTCCATTGTGACAGGAGATACTGCCACTCTTACCTGCACCATCTCCCTGCCAACTGGAGTAACTGATACTCCATCATTTCAGTGGGAGAGGCCTGGTGTAATCCCTACTCCAACTGACCCCACCTCCAGTGAGGGGATGGTGTCAAGTACCCTAGTAACTCCATGAGGTTGCAACATCTCAGGCTGGACTCTATACCTGTACTGCCTCCCTCAATGGATCTATCAATACTTCCACCACCCTCAATGTGCAGAGTAGGTCCACCCACTACTTTAGGTGTTTACTCCAATCATGTTTCTCTCCACCATCCAGTTTCAACACCTACTCCATCCATTAGTCACAGTGTTTTGATAGCTGGAACTGAATCGAATCTAACATGTGACTCTATTAGTCTTGGTGGCCTATTCACAGGCTGAACCTCATTTCTGAAGAAGATCACTGCAAAATCTTTGGAAATATACAAATCATCCTCACACTTCATGAAGGTATATACTACATCTAGTACATACATACATACATGCATAAAGGACTTTCAGCTAATATTCAATACCTCGAATTGCCAAGAGCCTGTCTATGAAGGCCATCTCTCTTTAAAAGGACACTTGGTGATCGAACCTCTAAATTGTACAAAGGACACCTCTGACTATAGGACAATCCTTCATTCATATGTTCCTTTTTTTTTGTAGACCTGATGACAAAGTTGGAGGAGTTGAGGTCTAGTGGTTGCCACGGCGAGTGCATCGATAGCACCCTTATGGTTTGTTACACACACACGCACACACACACACACAAAAGGCTCTCCGGAAAAAACACTTCTCTGATAGGAATACATGGTTCTATCCCATACTAATACACTGGGGACGCCTCTGAATTAAGAACACTTGATGTCCCTGAGGTATCTCCTATTCAGAGTGTCACTGTGTTGGTGTGTAGGTTACTTCTACTCGGGGGATCCAGGACAGATCTGGAGAGTCAGCGAGGCCCTGGAGACCGTTTTCCGGCGCGACTATTCGTGTCGGTAGTGCCGTCCTTACATACAGCTACACGACCAGCCGGTTGGGCACTGGAGGAATGCGCTGATATAGCTTATATACAGACTAGACACAATGTCCCATCGGGGTGTGTTTCGTTGCTGGTGAACTATTACACTCACATGAGTTACACTAATAATCTGCACCAGTATCAGATGCTACTGGTTATACCACTCCCTGTCAAAAACTGCACAACAGATCAGCAGATCCCAAAGCAGACCACACAGTTAGTAATTACCACTGCTGAACTTGCACAAGGCAGGGCCACTATGGCTGGACTATCTTCTGATTTCTCCAGACAATGCCTAATGAAGCAGTGAATTATACTGGTCAGCAGCATTCTGACCTCAGACTGCATGGCCTCAGACCAGGAGCACAGCTAGAGCTAGCCACCTAACTAAACGAAGTGGAACATTAATTAACAGAGGATCACACTTCAGGTGATAGTTAATGGTGAGGTGAGCTCCAATACTTGGAGGACTCCAATAGAAGGTGATAGAAGTTCCTGTTGTTCTGCTGGACCAAAACCTCTCAACTGGGTAGGCATCTGTGTACAATGCATTATAGCTACCACAATTAGCAAAATATTTAGGTAATTGCTTACTTACATACAACAGCCAAAGTCTTCGCTACTGAAGACTGGATGTTAGTTACACCAGCCTGTGGGATGTTGATAGTGGCTGTGCAGGTGTATTGGCCTCCATCAGATATCCTCAGAGAAGAGAATGTGTGATATAGTGTTTTAGTAGCTACTACTGATATCTCAGTTGTGTTGGGGAAAACTATCTTCATGTGAGGCTCTGCCACCAGACCTGCCAACACACTAGCTGAACATTTGAAGTAGTAGCTCTGGCCTGCAATAGAGAGTCCACTTGATGAGACCGTGACATTTGGAGCAGGTGGAACTGCGAGGGATAAGGGTAAGCAAAATAAATATTTATCTCTTTTGTCTCTTCTACGCAGGTTGCTTACTTTCCACGGTAATGGGCACATCTGAACTCTGTACAGGCCCATGTACAGACACATATGGTGTCTGTGGTACAGAAAGACTTAGTTGGCACGTGTATCTACCACTATCAGAAACTGAAACAGGTGACAAGAAAAGAATTTGTCCATTATTTGAGATTCTTTTACGTCCATTTGTGGCAACTGCTGAGCCGTTCTCCATCCAGCTAACATTCTTTGCCACATGAGAATCCACATATGCACCAAGACTAATATGATGTGATAGCCTACTACACTTACCATCTAGCTGGAGCCAACCTCTATATACTCCAACACACAGTGTTTGTGATATATACATAGCCAACTTACTGCTCCGGAGGTGGTGTGAGATGGTGCAGTCCAGTTGATGGCTGCAAATCCACCAAAGATGTCTCGAACCCTGAAACCTGCCTTTCTCAGCAGTGACGTTGCTATGGCTGACCTGTAGCCCCACACACAGAATGCCACATAGTCCACAGACCTGGAACAGAAGGGAGAGATACGGAAAAGGGAGAGAGATGGGAAAGGGAGAGAGAAAAGAAGAAGGGGTTTTGTATGACAATAGCTTTGTCCGTGTACACTTCCTCCCAGTCCTCTGGCTCTCTCTCAGTGGCTGGCTTCTCTCCCAACACTCCCTACTCCTGTTCTCTGACTGCTAACAATAGCCAGGGATCTGGACCTCCTGCTGTTGTCACTTTCACTACAGAAGAAGATTGTAAGCATTCCAGCACTTACCACTCATGAGGCCGATACTTGAGTTTGTCTTTATAACAGCTCCCTCGGGATCTCCAGAGATGTTTAGGGCAGTAGCTGGAGAGAGAGAAGTGGAGTTCTCTTGGTCTCCCCCACCTCCCACCCAGCAAAATGGAGTCATCACCAGCTACACCCTCTCCTGCTCCCCCTCCCCCTCCTCCCTCCCCCAGTCCCCCTCCTCCCAGTCCTTTGGCTCTCTATCAGTGACTGGCTTCTCTCCCAACACTCTCTACTCATGTTCTCTGACTGCTAACAATAGTAAGGGATCTGGACCTCCTGCTGTTGTCACTGTCACTACCCAGCAAGACTGTAAGCCTTCTTTCTTTCATTTAAACTCAATTTGACTGCCTGATCATCTTCTTTCAGATGCCTATTTTCAACTGCGACTTAAAGGAGTATTGCCTTGCCTAAACGTGATAGTAAGCATCATCCTAACTTCTTGACTTGGCAAACCCCGGAGCTGGAAGCGCGCGGTCGCTACATCATGCGCATGCGCAATTAACATCGGCGTGTACGAATACGTGCAGGGTGTTCGTTCGCAGTTGCGGCAGTTCCGGTATGATAAATCAGTGCTACTGCTGAGTCTCCTCTGCTCTGTGGAGGTCCACTCCCAAACAGACCTTTACTTTTTCGTCAGCAGCGAGAAGGATGCACACCTTATCGTCCGTCTCCTCCGCACCTCTTTTCCCCCCCACCACCTCAAGAGTGGAGCCAGCCCACGCTCTCTAGTCTCCCAAGAACTTTACACGACCCTCAAAATCCGGTTAGTCTCTACTGTTATGTGTAAAACAAAGCGGATACACTTTATTTTTCAATTTTGCGATGCGTATTTTCCTGTTTTTGATACGTCTTGTAGGGCCATTTGTTAAATGGTAACTGCATTGTTTTAATGGAGCATACATTTACATAACGCTTTGAAACTACATTAAATTGATCAAAAGCATGCAAAACCTAGCTTCCAAGTGCCCTGTCAAAGGGTCATGTGTAAGACATGTATGTATAATAAAACCGAATGCTAGTTTGCCGGGCTGATAGCTTCATTGTATCTTGTTGACCAGGCTCGGTACCCACTGATATTCCGGCTACGCGCTTCTGAACCAGACTTCTCAAGTGATTGACGCGTCAACGCTCGGATATCTGTGAAACAGCTTGGAACATACATCAAGTACTTCCTCAAGGTATGCATACTCAGCCATACAGACCAACACATCTTCATCCTCTGCTTTTTGACCTACCATGCTCATTCTCGTGGGTACATGCTAAATTAGCAGATTCGTGAGAATGGACAGTACGAATGTGGACTAGAGAGTATAGTAGTAGAATGAGCAGTGTATATGGTGGAGGGTGACCTCCCACTGAAATATCATACGGTGATCCTCTATTTACTCTACTACAGAGCATGCATGATGCTCCATCTAACAATTGTGATTTCAGTTGGTTGAAATGACTACAGTAAAAGTATAGAGTTCAACATCGGTGGCTACGCGCGGCAAACCCAGTTATAACAGAGAGCCAGCACAAAGTGCAATAGAGTCGCGTATCTATTCACTGTAGGGGAAGTATGAGCGTCGTGGCGTATGCTGACTGTTCGTGATTGTCCTCCTCTGGTCTCTGGTGGAGGTCCAGCTCTCAAAGCAGAGCCTGTTCTTAGGTCTCCTTCATGGCGGCCAGCCTCTGGGCCTTTCCACACCGCATTCCTATGCTCGCCGACCTCAGTCTTGTGGGGACTGAGCATGCGCTCGTGGTGTACAGTGTTCAGTGTGGTCACGGGATGACCTGAGCACATTGTTGTGACTAGTATCATGTTTGGTTCTCTATCGTGGAGACTGGTATTTCCCTAATGGAACTAGATCTGCCTCTTCAAGGCAGGTCTGATGCTCGTCGATACCTATGAGTTTCGTGATGCGCTGCTCAGCGAGTTGTATACGTACCGTGAACATCAGCACCGACTAACTCACGCAACCTGTTGGTATCCCACTATCGCTGTGATATTCCAACTATGCTGCTCCATGATGATACGACATCTCAGTGAGACGACTGGACCGTCTATGTGGACTCGTATACTGCCAGCGGAGCCGGTAGACCACCTAATAGTTTATGTCGTGCTCTGTCTGTTGTATGTTGCTTCGTTTAGATCTCAGAGCAATATATGGTGTATCAGAGCGCCCAGGGCTGTTATGATTGGCACAACGTGTTTTCATTGAGATGTGTGTGTGATGACATCACCGGACCCTCGCAACTGGATAGTTACTCCGATGGCTTTCAGCCTCAGGTGACAGCAGTCCTGCATTTTTGTTTGTCACCCGTGGCCTGTATCTCCACTGGTGGACTGCTACACTGTCCATTACCCCTTGTGACCAGAGACGTCCACCGCATCAACACATCAAGGTTACAAACTGAAACAGACTGTGTTGAAATGTGTACCCAGTGACTGACAGCAGACTAGTACACCTACACTCTGACTGTGACTGGGAAGAGACTGCCTGGACCTCTACAACTGTACTGTGCTAATAACCAAGCCATCCAATGCTTCAGTGACGAGAACCGTTTACACGGAAGGTATTATATGTTTCTTCATCCAAAAAAACAGTGTTTTCCTCTTGACATTTTGATAGCCTCCCACGATGCCTCCATAGATTTTCAAGGCAGTTGTGATAGAGACATGTTGTGTCTCCTGGTCTCCTCATGTACCATCTCATGGAGCATTCATAAATACCCCTCCTTTCCCCCTCCCCCCCCTCCCCCCCCAGTCCCCCTCCTCCCAGTAGCTGGAGCCTCACTGCACTGGCGTCCCTCCCAACACTATATACTCATGTTCTTGACTCTTAACAACCCCCCCCCCCGGCTGGGCTCGGGCCTCCCTGAACAACTTCACTACAAAAATTAGGCTGTAAGCTAACAAGATTAATAGACGCAACCTTCCCACTGAAAAATCTCAGATACCACTTCACTGGACCTTAAAGGAGTGTTACCTGCACAGAAGTAATAGTAAGTTTATCTATCAATTGCTGAGTTTTGATATATAGAGGCCCTGCACTATAGGCAACCTCACAGAGCAGAAATGGATGATTGTTAGAAGCTTGCAGTTTGGAGCAGCTGGAGGCTTCATGTGCGAATGTACTAGTGAAGACATAGACAGACAGTCGTTTTCCTGTTTTGAGGAATCTCCGTTCTCCGACATATCGAGCCAGACTGGAGGACCTCAGCTACTGATAGTAGCTCCCTCATCTCTTGATAGAGGCCTGGTGAGAGGAGGCGGGGCCAGTGTCATTGTGGCTGGAGTACTATGACTGTAGATTCACAGTGTTCAGTGCCATCTCTTCTCTCAGTGACAGAGTGCTCTCCACCAACTACACACATCTCCTACACCTCACATTACCTCAAACTTCACCATTTCATCTACTCAGACTTGTGCATGTGCTGAAAACACCCCAGCAATTATTGGAGGGGCAGTTGCAATTGCCATAGCTCTAACACTGCAGCTACCATTATAGCTGATAGTTGCTCTAGTTCTAAAGAATCGTCCTCACACTATCAAGAAAACTTCAACAGAAGGGACTACTATACACACAGCTACTAATACAGCCTATGGGATGACAAAGAGAAAGCCAGAGAGGATAGGGGGTGCCCCTACCATCTCACCATCGTCAGATATTGGACCGATCTGAGGAAGAGAAGATTTATGAGATGATACCAGTAGAAGAAAAGTGAACGTATACTGTAGGATTGTAGATTTGTTCAGTAGACTCAGCACTCTATTTATTCCCTCATGCACTATTCTCATATATAAACTTTCAAAATTGTGCACTGTTGTTTGATTAGCTATAGCTATCTCACACATCCTTTTCAGACTACAAGCAGATACTCAGAAGGGGTAAAGTGATGCAATCAATATTATGTATAAATCGAGGCTGAGAGGTCGAAAGTAACGTTTAGAGGAATGATTGGAATCACAAACTATTCTTTGACAGCTAAAAGTATATTATACTGACAAATCCCCAGGTTCCTTAGACCATCCCTAAAACCGTCTGAGCAATAAACAAGAGTCGATGAATGACATAAAATTTTACAATCTATTCTCAGCCGTGTGCCTTGAACCATGTCGTAATGCTAGTGGTTCAGTTTCCCATCACCATTATGTCATGTCACCAGACTGGGAGAGAAGGTGGGGGTGAGTAGGAGAATGAGGGCTTAAAAAAGCCGTTAACTCAACTAGGGCATGTTGTCTTTAACACTTGAGATGGTGTTTCCTACTTGTTTACGGGAAGATAGGTTACCATTCTCCATTTTGTCTACTTTCCTTTCAACCCACAGGTAAAAGTGAAAAACCCTTTACACAAAACCTTCATCTTAGATTTGTATAAGATTGCTTTACCTGCTGACTACTTGGTTTGCACTCGCGCGTTGTGCGGAGGAATCGTAAGTGGTATATACTGCTCAAAAATATCTACAACCCAGTTGAGTGAGTTTTGTTATAAATATTATTATTATGTAGCTTCGATATAGATATTTTAAGAATAAGAGAAAGGCAGCTACATTAGTATGTGGGTGCTACTGCTGAGTCTCCTCTGGTCTCTGGTGGAGGTCCACTCTCAACAGACCTTTCCTTACATCTCCTTCATGAGCCAGACTCTGGCCAACCATTCCTATGTGGACGTCAGTGAAGTGGGGAGACCTGACATTCCTGATGGTGGTGAAGGTGTTCAGTGTATCACTGACCTGGCCACATGTTGTACTGGTAGTAATGGTGTTTATCGTGGAGACTGGTATTTCCCTAATGGAACTATACTGCCTTTTGCTGCATCTAATGTTGATACCTTTGTGGTTCGTGAACCTCAGAGAGTTGACTTACGCCGTAACACTAATACTTACTCACCAACTGGTATCTATCGCTGCGATATTCCAACTGCTGCTGTCCATGATGTTACTGACATCTCAGTGAGAGACACAGTCTATGTGGGACTGTATACTGCCAGTGGAGGTAACCAGTTATTTTCAGGCTGTCATGCTTTGTCTGCATTCCTTAGAATAATCTAGATGTCAGACCACGAATTGCAGGGCTGTTATCATTGTCAAAATGATAATTTTTGTAGGAGACATTAAAATATCAGCAGGTGAAATTGAATTCTCCGAAGCCCTTGGAACCAGTCCTCAGTTCACCCTGGTCTGTATCTCCACTGGTGGACCTGCTACCACTGTCACTTGGACCAGAGACTCCACCACTGTCACCCAAGGAAGTGAGACTGTGTTGAATGACCCAGTGACTGCACAGTACACCCACACTCTGACTGTGACTGGGAGACTGCCTGGACTCTACACATGTACTGTGGCTAATAACAAGCCATCCATTGATTCAGCTACTTTAAATGTAACAGGTAAATGTGTTAACAAATGTGAGGCAATGAGCAAAGCAAATGTTAGTATTGGTAATCGATAATCGACTAAAGACTTAATTCCAAAAACAGCTCCTAACACTCCAAAGATGTTTAGGGCAGTAGCTGGAGAGAGAGAAGTGGAGTTCTCCTGGTCTCCCCCACCTCCCACCCAGCAAAAATGGAGTCATCACCAGCTACACCCTCTCCTGCTCCCCCTCCCCCTCCTCCCTCCCCCAGTCCCCTCCTCCCAGTCTGGGAGCCTCACTGCCACTGGTTTCTCTCCCAACACTCTCTATACTCATGTTCCCTGACTGCTATGCCTGGTCCTCCTGCTGTTATCACTTTCACTACAAAGGATTGTCAGTTGAGAATTCCAGTACTATTTCAGTTTTATGTAGTGCACTCCCTTCTGCAGATAAATATTTTCAGCTACGACTCCAGAGTGTACTTCCGTGTTCTGAAGCAATAGTAAGGGCGCTGCTACTCATTCTTAAAATAAGTTTGCATTGTGATTTCCTCAGGCTACACTTACAGACCAGAAACTAAAAGACATTGAAACTAAAATCATACAGATATTGAAAGCAGGGTGCGCGGAATGCAGTAGTAATGTGTTGGATGAACAGTCGTTTTCCTGTTTTGAGGAATCTCCGTCATTCCTGACCTATCGAGCCAGACTGGAGGGGACCTCAGATACTGACAGTAGCTCCCTCATCTCTCTGATAGAGGCCTGGGTGAGAGGAGGCGGGGCCAGCATCATTGTGACTGGAGTACTGACTATTGATGCTAACTGCTCAGTGGCCATATCTTCTCCCAGTGATCCAGAGTGCTCCAACACCCCTCCACCTTCTACCGATGCAGTTTGCTCATCTCCCAACAACACTCCTTCAGTAGTTGCAGGAGTGGTGGTTGTTATTGTTGTCATCGTGATAGCTGTTACAACTGTTAATTCTACAACAATAGTGTGGAAGATTCGCCAGAGGGGTGGTGTACCAACCAAGACCAATGAGAAGTAAGTACATATGCTACCTCATAGTTTACACATTCACACAGGATTTATATTAAAAAACCTCAACAATTCGGTCATTGATGCATTCACTCTGATGTACTGAATATACCTATCACATAAGTAATACTGTATGTATAAATTTTCAGTAATAGTGAGAGAGAAAGATGATTTAGATTGCAAAGTTAACCCAGAGCTGACACACAGCACAGCATGCACCATTACCCACTCGTATGCACAGCTAGCAATCTCAGCATTCCTCCACACAGGCCCTATAACAGAGGTGGTAGCTCCAGCAACAGAGCCTATGAGATGAAGGCCCCACAGCAGGAGTACGAACCAATGGAAAGTGACACGGGCAAAGTTCCGACTACCAACAAAGAGTCTCACGAAGGCACACTTCCAGAAACCACTACTGAGGACGAGTCTTATGAAGTAACCCTCCCTCCCATCCAGACCTCTTCTCACGGGGCAGCAGAGGATGATATGTATTATGAGACCATCTCTGCAGAAAACTGACTGACTATAATTACCAGAAATCCTCCTCAAGCCTGTTAGGACACACCCCTTGGATTTTGATTGCCTCAGATTACATAATAACAGACTCTTTACCTGTACACCGTAGTGCTGTGTATAATGCTTCTTTCTTAGCTGGCTTGGCAATAATCGCATGTAGTTCAACCCCTTCATTGACTTTGTTTTAGTCTTACTGTACACCTTAATTTTCACGTATTTTCTCTGGTGATTTTGGACATAAATAGTTTATTTTCTGGTGTGACGTACTTCATTTCCTACAGTATTATATTATACCACTCATTGTTCCACTCTAAAAGTATAGCACCAGGTTCGATATACCGTATAATGCGCAGAACGCCATACACTGTGCATAAACTGTGCACACCTATAGCGTTCTCGTGCACAGAATGCTTGAGAAATTTGAAAAAAAACTTACCATGAAGTATCTAAGAATAGTCATCTGTCAATACATTTACAAACTCCCAAAATGCAGTTATGTATCAGTTGAAACTTATTACTGCATAAAATCCACGTCCACGTCCAACAAGAAAAAGAAGACGGTATGTGTGTGGAAGATTGAAGTTAGTGAGTCAGTCCTATGGGATGACGAAGAGAAAGCCAGAGAGGATAGGGGGTGCCCCTACCATCTCACCATCGTCAGATATTGGACCGATTGAGGAAGAGAAGATGTATGAGATGATACCAGGAGAGGACAAGTGAACGTATACTGTAGGACTGTAGATTTGTTCAGTACTTATAATACTCTTTAATTAGACTCACGCACTATTCTCTCATCAAACGTTCAAAATTGTGCACTGTTTTGTTTAGCTACTCACACGAGCCTTTTCAGACTACAAGCAGATGCTCAGAAGGGTTACGTAAAGTGATGTAATCAGAATGCATTAATCGAATAGCACCTTAGACGTCGAAAGTAACTTGTTTAGAAGCAGGATTGGGATCACAAACTTTTCTCAGCCAGCTAAAAGTATACCGACAAATCCCCAGGTTCCTTAGACCATTTAAAAACCTTCTGAGCAAGAAACAAGAGTCGATAATGACAGAGATTTTTGCATTCTAGTCTCAGGCAAATTAAGTTGTTACACAATAGGCTGATGGTAATAGGTGAACAGAGTCATGTGCCTTGAACCTGGTCATAATCCTAGTGGTTCAGTTTCCAAATGATGCCACCATGCATACTGGGAAAGAAGGGAGGAGAGAGGAAGTGATGGTTTAGAACTCAACTACAGCATGTTGTCTTTAGCACTTCAGCAAATGGTGTTTGCTACTTGTTTGTGCATGGGAAGATATGAGTTACCATTCTTCGTTTTTGTGTACTTTCAACCTACAGGTAAAGGTTACAAACATTCATTTTAGATTTTTTACATGTATAACAGTACTTTACCTGCTAGCTACTTGGTTTGCACTTGCACACGCGGCTTGTGTGTTGATCTAGAGACGTGCTCAAAATCTACGTATAACCCAGTTGAGTGTTATTATTATAGCTATAGCTTAGACATAATATTATATTGAAATCCAGAAAGTGAGAGAGAAAGACAATTGCATGAGTATGCGGGTGTTACTGCTGAATCTCCTCTGGTCTCTGGTGGAGGTCCACTCTCAACAGACCTTTCCTTACGTCTCCTTCATGGGCTGGACTCTGGTGAACCATTCCTATGTGGACCTCAGTCTAGTGGGGTATGATTACGGGGGTATTCAGTGTATCACTGACCTGAGCTCATGTTGTCGTGGTATCGATGGTCCTCATCGTGGAGACTGGTACTTCTCTAATGGAACAAAATTGCCTTTCAGTGCACCTGATGTTGATATCTATGAGTTTCGTGATGCTCAGAGAGTTGACATTCGTCGTAGGAACAATGCTAGCTCACCAGTTGGTATCTATCGCTGTGATATTCCAACTAATGCTGTCAATGATGATACTGACATATCAGTGAGAGACACAGTCTATATGGGACTGTATACTGCTAATGGAGGTAACCACCTATTTAGGTTATGTCATGCTGTGTCTGTGTTGAGGATCAAACCTATAATGTACATGATGTAAAGGGCAGATGACTATCACACCTATTATTGCAGGAGATGTTAGGATATCAGGAAGTATGGTATTCTCTGAGATTTCAGACCTCAATGGACCCAGTCCTCAGTTCACCCTGGCCTGTATCTCCACTGGTGGACCTGCTACCACTGTCACTTGGACCAGAGACTCCACCACGGTCACCCAAGGAAATGAGACTGTGTTGAATGACCCAGTGACTGCACAGTACACCCACACTCTGACTGTGACTGGGAGATTGGAAGGAATCTATAACTGCGTCATATCTAATAACAAACCATCTAGTGCTTCAGCTGCACTAGTTGTATCTAGTAAGCTAACTGCTGCTAATTATTAACGCTTTATCTTCATAACTATACAGTTCCCTCACCTCCATCAAATGTACAAGTGTCTCAGAATGGACTGAACAGTGTACTAGTGACCTGGATACCATTGGGAATATATGTGACTGGCTACACCATCTTTTACCAGCGACAGGGAGAACAAAGTGTGTCAGCCAAAGGAGTTGGAAACACTACTGAAGCCACAATCAGTGGGCTTATAACTGGATCCACGTACAACATCAGTGTATCTGCAGAGTCATCTATACGCTCCAGTAGCTTAACCCTTGCACCAAATATCACAATAGGTATTGTGTAACTCGTTAGGTGTAAAAAAAATGAACTAAGCTTGTATGATAATTAGTCAAAATGCCACAATGCTCCCTTTCTGCTAGTGAGTAGTGAGCATTGATAAACATCCGTTTGCGTGAATACAAGGACAACAGTGGGCATCACGGCCAGGGCCAGCGTAGGTGTACTAAGACACCTAGATATTTTAGCTGCACTAAGTCACCTTATTAGGTAGCTGCTCCACTATCTACAGTTGCTTTGAGTCCCTCATAGTAGGTAGCTAATCAAAGTATAAACTAGAATGTATCGCCGATTACTAATGAGCTAAATTCAACTATATTTTGCCCCTTGTAAGCAGAGCAAGCCAACATATCTCTGGTCTCTTCACCCTCCTCCTCCATTGTGGCAGGAAGTACTGTCACTCTCACCTACAGCATCTCCCTGCCTACTGGAGTAACTGATACTCCATCATTTGAGTGGGAGGGGCCTGGAGAAATCCCTACTCCAACTGACCCCACCTCCAGTGGGAGGATGGTGTCAAGTACCCTAGTACTCCATGAGGTTGCAACATCTCAGGCTGGACTCTATACCTGTACTGCCTCCCTCAGAGGAACTATCAATACTTCTACCACCCTTATTGTGCAGAGTAGGTCCACCCACTACTATAGGTGTCTAATCAGGTTTCTCTCAACCATCCAGTTTCAACACCTACTCCATCCATTAGTCACAGTGTTTTGATAGCTGGAACTGAATCGAATCTAAGTTGTGACTATAGTCTTGGTGCATACGTGGATTCTCATGTGGCAGAGAATGTCAGCTGGATGGTGAACGGCTCAGCAGTTGCCACAAATGGACGCAGAATAATCTTAAATAATGGACAATTTCTTTACTTCTCTCCAGTTTCAGTCTCTGATAGTGGTAGATACACCTGCCAACTCTTTCTGTACCACAGACACCATATGTGTCTGTACATGGGCCTGTACAGAGTACAGATGTGGCCATTACCGTGGAAAGTAAGCAACCTGCGCAGAAGAGATAAAAGATTATTTACTTTGCTTACCCCTATCCCTCGCAGTTCCACCTGCCCCAAATGTCATGGTCTCAACAACTGGACTCTCTATTGCAGGCCAGAGCTACACCTTCAAATGTACAGCTAGTGTAGTGGCAGATCTGGTGGCAGAGCCTCACATGAAGATACTTTTCCCCGACTCAACTGAGATACCATCAGACGCTACTAAAACACTATATCACACATTCTCTTCTCTGAGGATATCTGATGGAGGCCAATACGCCTGCACAGCCACTATCAACATCCCACAAGCTGGTGTAACTAACATCCAGTCTTCAGTAGCAAAGACTTTGGCTGTTGTATGTAAGTAGGCCCAAAAAAACACATTTGCTAATTGGTAGCTATAATGCACTGTACACAGATGCCTACTCAGTTGAGAGGTTTTGGTCCAGCAGAACAACAGGAACTTCTATCACCTTCCATTGGAGTCCTCCAAGTATTGGAGCTCACCTCACCATTAACTATCACCTGAAGTGTGATCCTCTGTTGATTGAAGTTCCACACGTCAGGCATTAGTGCAAGCTGCAAATACCTCAGCTGTTATAACTGATCTCCATCCTGGAGCCATCTACAACTGTAGTATCTTTACCGTTGGTCCCCTGGGGAACTCTGAGCCAAAATCACAAAATATTACCACTCTTGAGGCTGGTAAAACATTTGAGAGATTTTTTACGCTTAACTTGAGTTTGTCTGTGTATAGTTCCCTCAGGTTCTCCAGAGATGTTTGGGGCAGTGGCTGGAGAGAGAGAAGTGGAGTTCTCCTGGTCTCCCCCACCTCCCACCCAGCAAAATGGAGTCATCACCAGCTACACCCTCTCCTGCTCCCCCTCCCCCTCCTCCCTCCTCCAGTCCCAGTCCTCTGGCTCTCTATCAGTGACTGGCTTCTCTCCCAACACTCTCTACTCCTGTTCTCTGACTGCTAACAATAGTCAGGGATCTGGGCCTCCTGCTACATACACCTTCACTACCCAGCAAGACTGTAAGCCTTCCTTGTTTTAAACACAATTTGACTGCTCGATATCTTTTTCAGATGCCTATATTCAGCTGCGACTTAAAGGAGTATTGCCTTGCCCAAATGTGATAGTAAGTATCATGCTAACTTCTTGACTTGATTGAATTCTGTGTGAACACTATCACTGTAGGCAACACTTACAGAGCAGAAACTAAAAGACATTGAAACTAAAATCATACAGATATTGAAAGCAGGATGCACGGAATGTAGTAGCGATACGTTGGATGAACAGTCGTTTTCCTGTTTTGAGGAATCTCCGTCATTCCTGACATATCGAGCCAGACTGGAGGGGACCTCTGTGACAGACAGCGGTTCCCTTGTCTCTCTGATAGAGGCCTGGGTGAGAGGAGGCGGGGCCAGTGTCATTGTGACTGGAGTACTCATGACTGTGGATTCACAGTGTTCAGTGGCCATCTCTTCTCTCAGTGAACCAGAGTGCTCTAAACCACCCCCTCCACCCAATGAACCCAAACCTTCTCTTACCCAAACTCTGCTTCCGAGTATGACTCCGACCAAAGAGACTTCTACTGAAGACTCTGGTACAGAGGACCCTACTCTCTCCTCTCAGAACTCTGTTGCAGGAAATGGCAATACTACCGCTGTTATTGGAGGGGTTGCTGTGGCAATTGTGCTCATCATTGTCGTTGCTATTGTCATTGTAGCTATTGCTGCTCTGGTCCTCAAGAATCGTCGACTGGCTACCAAGACTGCTGAAAAGTTAGTTCAACGAAAAGTAGCTACTGGTTTTATCAGTATGTAAACACGTGTGCTAGATGGCATTAGATATACAGTCAATATTCACTGTGAGTGAGGGATGCTATAGCTGTTGTTCCTCCTAATATACACTGGGCTACATACTAGCTCTTTATCTTTATTCCCCCAGGTTTGAGATGAGTCTAGTGCCAGGTTCTCCTGGAGTCATTCCAACTTCCACCAACTCTGCCTACCACACAGTAAAGCAGGAGGGGAGGGTGACTGAGACATATGAGATCCCACTGAGAGCTGGGGACGATGGAGGATACGATATTATCCTTTGTCCCTCACCTCCTCCTCCTCGTCCTACCTCCCAGCAGTCTCTCCCCAAACTCCCTGAGTCTGAGGAGGTGTACGAGGTGATCCCTGGAGAGGACAACTGACTGGATAGATATTACGTTACTGATAGAGAGCTAGTTAGTGGACTAGTTGGTCTTGTAGGCTTCATGCAACTATTTTGTCTTTTACCAACGCAGCAACACTCTCGTACCAATAAAAAGTCTGAATGAAAACTGTACTCAAGTGTCCCCCCGAGCGAACTCGAAGCGCGCACACGGGCGCTACACCATGCGCATGCGCAATTGAAATTATCGGTGCAAAACTGGGGGATCGTTCGCAGTTGCGGCAGGTCCGGTATGAGTAAGTCAGTGGTACTGCTGAGTCTCCTCTGGTCTCTGGTGGAGGTCCACTCTCAGACCTTTCCTTTTGTCTTCTTCATGAGCCAGACTCTGGCCAACCATTCCTATGTGAACCTCAGTCTAGTTGGAAGATTTTACGGTGACGGTGTCTTGTGTGTCACTGACCTGGAAACATGTTGTAGTGGTGCTCATGGTCCTCATCGTGGAGACTGGTATTTCCCTAATGGAACTAGACTGCCATTCTCTGAAGCCTATCGTGATATCTATGAGTTTCGTGCTGCTCAGAGAGTTGACATACATCGTAGGAACAATGCTAACTCACCAGTTGGTATCTATCGCTGTGACATCCCTACTAATGCTGTCCATGATGATGATGGCAACTCAGTGAGAGACACAGTCTATGTGGGACTGTATACTTCCAGTGGAGGTAACCACCTAATAGTTATGTCATGCAGTGTCTGTATTGCAGATCTCAGAGAATAAGTGGTGTATCAAGGCCAGGGTTGTTATGATTGTCACAACTGTTATTATAGGAGATGTTGAAATATCATGAAATGTGAATTCTCCGAAGCCTCGTGGACCAGTCTCAGTTCACCCCTGGCCTGTATCTCCACTGGTGGACCTGCTACCACTGTCACTTGGACCAGAGGACTCCACCACTGTCACCCACAGAACCCAGCTGTGTTTGAATGACCCAGTGGACTGCACAGTACACACACCCACACTCTGACTGTGACTGGGAGAATGCCTGGACTCTACAACTTTCTGTGGCTAAACAGCCTCCAATGATTCATCTCTTTAAATGTAACAGTAATGTGATACCCTAATATCACAGTGGAAAAATCCCATTCTTCAAATGAAGGGATATAGGGATGACTTAAGCACCAAAAAGGAAGAAACAAGGGTGATTTTACCCCAATGGTAACATGTGTAGGAAGATTGTGAGAGAATTTCATAGCGCAAGTAGAAATGAAAAAGTTTTGGAAATATTCCTGCAAAATCCCCATATTTCTTATTTAAATGAGAGTGTTTCTATTATGTGAGGTAATGAGCAAAGTATTAGTAATCTACTAAAGATTTAATTTCCAAAACAGCTCCTAACGCTCCAAAGATGTTTGGGGCAGTAGCTGGAGAGAGAGAGGTGGAGTTCTCCTGGTCTCCCCCACCTCCCACCCAGCAAAATGGAGTCATCACCAGCTACACCCTCTCCTGCTCCCCCTCCCCCTCCTCCCTCCCCCAGTCCCCCTCCTCCCAGTCTCTGGCAGCCTCACTGCCACTGGCTTCTCTCCCAACACTCTCTACTCATGTTCTCTGACTGCTGAAAATAGCCAGGGATCTGGACCTCCTGCTGTTGTCACTTTCACTACAGAAGAAGATTGTAAGCTGAGAATTCCAGCACGATTTCAGTTTTGTACACTCCCTTCTGCAGATATGTATTTTCAGCTACGACTCACGAGTGTACTTCCATGCTCTGAAGTAATAGTAAGGGCGCTTCTACTCATCCTTACAATAAGTTTGCATTGTGATTTCCTCAGGCTACTCTTACAGAGCAGAAACTGGAGGATGTTGAAACCAAAATCATACAGATATTATTGAAAGCAGGATGCACCGAATGTAGTAGTGATACATTGGACGAACAGTCGTTTTCCTGTTTTGAGGAATCTCCATCATTCCTGACATATCGAGCCAGACTGGAGGGAACCTCAGAGACAGACAGTAGCTCCCTCATCTCTCTGATAGAGGCCTGGGTGAGAGGAGGCGGGGCCAGCGTCATTGTGGCTGGAGTACTCATGACTATCAATGCTAACTGCTCAGTGGCAATTACTTCTCCCAGTGAATCAGAGTGCTCCTACACCCCTCCACCTTCTACCCATGCAGTTTGCTCATCTTCTAACAACACTCCTTCAGTAGTTGCAGGAGTAGTGGTTGTTATTGTTGTCATCCTGATAGCTGTTACAACTATTATTTCTACAACAATAGTATGGAAGATTCGCCAGAGGGGTGGTGTCACTGGTGTACCAACCAAGATCAATGAGCAGTAAGTACATTACCCATACACACAGGATTAAAACCCTCAAAAATATTCAGTCATTGATGCCTTCACGCTGATGTACTGACTTATACATAAGTAATACTGTATGTATAAATTGTCAGTAATAGTGAGAGAAAGATATGATTTAGATTGCAAAGTTAACCCAGAGCTGGCACACACGCAAGGCACCGCACATGCACCATTACCCAGTCGTATGGACAGCTAGCAACCTCAACATTCCTCCACACAGGCCCTATAACAGAGGTGGTAGCTCCAGCAACAGAGCCTATGAGATGAAGGCCCCACAGCAGGAGTACGAACCAATGGAAAGTGACACGGGCAAAGTTCCGACTACCAACAAAGAGTCTCACGAAGGCACCCTTCCAGAAACCACTACTGAGGACGAGTCTTATGAAGTAACCCTCCCTCCCATCCGGAGCTCTTCTCACGGGGCAGCAGAGGATGTGTATTATGAGACCATCTCTGCAGAAAACTGACTGTAATTACCTGAAACCCTCCTTAAGCCTGTTAGGACACACCCCTTGGATTGCCTCGAATTACATAAGACTCTTACCTGTAAACCATAGTGCTGTGTATGCTTTTTTCTTTGGCAATATTCGCATGTAGGTCAACCCCTTCATTGACTTTGTAAAATTTTAGTCTTACTGTACACCTTCATTTTCACGTAGTTTCTCTGGTGATTTTGGACATAAATGGTGACGTATTTCAGTTCCTACAGTATGTAGTATATAATATAATTATTATACCACTCATTGTTCCACTCCAAAAGTATAGCACCAGGTTCGATTTACCGTACAACGCACAGAACGCCGCCATACACTGTGCATTATTTTAACATTTTCGTGCACAGAATACTACTTGTGAATTATAATATTATATGAAGGCTTGAGAGAAATTTGAAAAAACTTACCATGAAGTATCTATAAGTCATCCATCAACAAAATGCAGTTATGTACCAGTTGAAACTTATTACTGCATAAAATCCACGTTTGGAAAAAGAAGACTTAAAGTAAGCAAGGTATGTATGTATGTGGAAGATTGAAGTTAGTGAGTTAGTCCCAGAGATGTATCTTCCCGTCCCAGCCACAACTGATGACCTTTGATGTCTCGTGCGGTAACCATAGGCAACTGATACACACAGAGTCGTGCGCCTTGAACCTTGTCACGATCCTAGTGGTTCTCCATTCCCATACCGTCAGTTTCCCATCTGCATCACCCGATACCACCAGACTGAGGGAGAAAAGAGGGGTGGGGTGAGAGAGAGAGAGAGAGTCAGGGGAAAGAGAGAAAGATGTGGATGATTAAAAGTGTTAGAGAACAACTCTTTAGTAATGTGTTTATCTGCTCTTCTGTAACACTTCACTGTTTGTAACATATACATGTAAGTTTAGTCTTTCTATGTAAAAGCTTTTCTCTACATTCGTGTGGCGGCGGTAAAAGACAATAAACAGTAAAATCAGTTTATGATACATCTCCTGAAAACACATTCTACATTAGGTAAAAGCCAATGTAACATTAGAGGTGTGAATGCAGATGCAGACCTTCCCTCTGGAGAGAAGTCAGCAGAACAGGCATAGCCGGCCACCATGTGCCCCTTGAAGTTCTTTTTTCTGTTGAGTCTGAAGTTGTTGTGGACTCCGTACACCAGTATGGTGTTGTCCATCGACTGACACGCCAACCACTTCTCTGGTGGACGTGTGTGTGTGTGTGAGGGATGTGGGAGAGCGGGACAGGGTGGGCACAGATAAAAGCACATACATATGTAATTATAGATCCACACTTAATCACAATTTGCAAACTAAACGCCTTGTATACAGAGCTAGAGATTAAAGTGCCATGTCCATACACACCATTAGGGGAGAGTGTCACGGCCGGCATGGAGTGCATATGAGGCTCAGCCACATACTTCATATCCACTGGAATATCCCTAGAGAAACAGCACACACGCAACACCATCATTATAAATGCATACTCAAGAACGTATAATATATACTGCATGCAAAGACTGCAAGGTTTCTAGAGACCCATGTGGGATGATGACACGCACCATTCCCAGACGCGGAGGCTCTTGTCGTCAGACGTGGTGACGAATCTCCGGTTCCCATCTACAAACGTGATGGTGTTGACGGCTCCGAGGTGACGATCGTACTCCTGCACTATCTCCCCCGAATCTATGTTGAACTGTAGGAAGAGGGACAGTGTGAGAAACTTCAAAGGGAATGTGTCAATAAATCATGTTACAGAACTTAACAATATAACCCAGTGCAAGAATGCAATTAAGTTTCTGTTTTTAGTAACAATTTAGCCCTTATATACTGCTACATTCCCTTTAAAAAGGGTTTTCAGGATTTTGCATTTCTTTAACGAACATCAGTTGAAGAAAAGGCAAACCAACCATGCACAATAGTTTGACTATAGCTGGAGTTTGACATTCACTTTTATATTCTGAACCACGCCCCCTTCCCCCTTCGACCGGATCTAAATGGTTTTGCATTTGTTAAAAGAACGTGAGTGGAAGAAGAGACAAACCAACCATCCACAATAGTTTGACTATAGTTGGAGTATGGAATAGTAACAATCACTTTGAGTTAGCATTTACATTCTGAACCACGCCCCCTTCCCCCTTCGACCGGATCTAAATGGTTTTGCATTTGTTAAAAGAACGTGAGTGGAAGAAGAGACAAACCAACCATCCACAATACTATAGTTGGAGTATGGAATAGTAACATTCACTAACGCAGTAGATCTTCTTGTCGGCACAGCCCACGAGAAAGAGGTTCTGTTTGTCTTCGTCGGGATTGAACCTCACGCAGTAAGGCGTCTTCTTGTTGGTGAACCTTGCCAGACACTCACCTGCAACGACAGGAACAATAATACAAACAGTACATATTATAAACAATTGGTATAATAGTCTTTTGAGTTGTGTGATAAAACTTGAATGCAAAATAAAAGCTAGTATACTAACATCATTACACAATTACTCTAGCTATTTCGAGGCATGGCTAGTCATTACCCCAGAAGCAAAACTGTAGGATATATTCGATGGTATAAATGACTTATCTCCCGCTTAAATGATAAACACTAGGCTTTGCCTCTGTATAAGTCTGATGCAGCTATATAGCTACCCGCTTCTTAGCAGCTTTGAACAATTCATTTTCCCAAGATGTATATAAGCCCAGGCAGATGCACTACTATTATTGGTAACTTCATAAGCAAGTGTGCCACAGATGATATACTGGCACGTTGTTCTTTTACTCTAGTATATACAGGCAACAGTAATGTACCGGTCTCAGTGTCCCATAGTTTGATGTAGCGATCGTAGCTGCAGCTTAGGAAACGAGTCCCTTTGCAACTGAAACAGATGTCCCTCACCGCCTTAGCATGACCTGCAGAGAGAGAGAGAAACAGGGAGAGAGAGAGGAGAGAGCAGTTGCAGATGAGTGAGAGGAAGATGGAGGAGAAGAAAAAGGAGAGGGGGGAGAGTGAAATGTAGAAAGCAGACTCACCGACAAAGGTTCTCAAGAGCCTCCTCTCTCCATACACCTCCCACAACTGTATATAGGGATTAAGAAAAAGACAGGCATTATGTACAATGTAGGTGTCAACCCTCAGCACAGTGCACTCTCTCCATACATCTCCCACAACTGGGATTAAGGCATTATGTACATAGGGGTTAACAGTCAGCACAGTGCACTGTGGAGAAGTGCATTTAAAGTGTGTCTTTTGCCATGCTTTCCCATGTAGGACTGAAGTTGTTTGAGATAAAAGCTGCGTTCAAAAGGAACCTACCCTTACAGCCCACTCCTTTCTTTCTTTTCAAACCTTGATCTTGGAGTCCATGCCGGCAGACAGTACCAAGTGGCCTGAGTGAGGAAACAGTCGTATGGCCGCGACCCCCTTCGTGTGGCCGACCCACGTGTGCACCAACTTCTTGGGAGAGAAGCACTTTGGTGGCGGTTCCTCGGTTCGAAGGTCGACGTCCAAATCTTGTCGGATGTGGAGGTAGGAGCGACCGAGATAGTCGCAAGGATTTTCAACTGGAGGGACAAGGGAGAGAGAAAGAGAGGCAGAGAGATAAAGCAACGAAAAGTAGAGTTTGGTTATAAAAAAGCAGCATACAGTCCATAATAAAAAGGAGAAAACACCGTGATTGAGAAAATACAGATAGATGGTGGAGAGACCGTGTAAGATGGTCGACTCGGTGATGGTATCGTCCTCTTTCTTCTCCTTGGCCTTCAGCTTCTCTCCAAACTGCTCATCCAGAATGACCATCTGCTCCGGCGTTGGCTTTGACACCTTCACCTGCACACACACACACACACACACACACATTAATGCTACCATTACCTTCGAATTCACCTGTATACCAACATTTAATGCTACTATTACAGCTTCACCTGTAAACACACATACATTTTCGGAATTTTTATACATACTGTATCTGGGGTTAACAATGACACCTACAAACAATAACTCTAGCTGTACAATAAAGGAAAGGTGGCAGGTCATCTTTATAGGTCACACTTCCACGTGAAGTAAAATAATTATTACCTCATCTTCGTACTCCCTCCAGGGACCCATGTATCCATCGAGATCAGCTGGATCTCCTTTATCCTTCCTCCGCCTCTTCTCCCCCGTTCTCACTTTCTTTACTTCGAACACACTCACCTCCTTCATCTCTTCCGCTCTTAGCTGGTCACCCACTGGCCTGGAACATAGGTCGGAGAGAGGGGTAGAGAATCATTGAGGCAAAACAAAGATTTGCGATTCGGAAGCAATGGGGGAAAGGTCACGGGATTGCTGTACAAATGCTCACGAAAACATTTCCATGTTTCAGCAGGGAAAATAGTACGGAGAAGGAAGTTTACCCAGTAGCAGCAGCTTCCATGGCTGTTGGGTCCAGTGCATATCCTACAGTAAAAAAAAACACCAGATTTCTGTGACGCTACTTCACCTCAACCAACACTCCACCGTTACCATACGAATGGAAGGTCCTTCTCTGATTCTCAAACTGAAAAGCGTCGAAATGGGCCGGCTCCACAAACCCAGACAGCGTGTTCTTGTTTGCCAACTGCTGGCGAGTTTTGAACGGATTAGTCGGCCCCACCTAAACACAAAAGAGAGGCAGCATGTGCAGCTAAATCAGTAAATTTTTTTCTTTGTTACTCCAAAGTCTACCTCAGGTGCATAGAGCTGCTCGACCGTCGGGTTGTACGCGACCTCCTTCGTGTCCGGACCTACTCGCAACAGGTCGTCCGGACTTTCCTACGGAGAAAAAGGACGCGTATGTCTCGCTTCCAATTAACGCGCGCCGGATGCTCACGCGGATAGGAACGGCGGGCGCGCTGTTGAGCGGGAACTTTTCCTTCAGTCTGGAGAGGACGCTGGAGGACTCCTCTACGTTGATGGGAGTCGCTTCATCTTCCTGTTGGGGCGTCTCTTCTCCCTCAGCCCCACTACTGGCGTCAGAATCGTAGGCCGCCGAAAGAGTGTCCATTTTCATCAGCTGGGAGGTCAAAGGTGAAAAATCACGTGACCATACAAACCCACGTCTGCACGTGACTTGCGTCTTGCAAAACAACATCTGCCTCTACATATACACTCAGCAGCAGGGATTCTAAGGCGAAAAGCAGAGGGAATGGCCTACCTACAGAGACTGGGAGTGCCGCTGCGTCGGGTGGCGATGCAGAGCAGAGTTTTCGCCGCTTCTTACCACGAGAAGGTTGGGTCGTACCGAACGTACGTAGCTATGGTGAGTATACTGTGAGTGATCGTGTGTGCAGGTGATAGACCACTACGAGAACCCGCGGAACGTGGGCAGCATGAACAAGGAGGACTCTGATGTTGGGACCGGACTGGTGGGCGCCCCTGCCTGTGGAGACGTAATGAAACTTCAGGTGAGTAGTGTCTGCACCCACTGACACGCCCCTTAGGTTCGTAAACGAATTGGAGCCTTAGCCCTATTGATACCCCATATATTTTTACTCTTTGTTCTTTAGGACAGGGTTTGCATTTTGTGTGTATTGGGCTTCAGAGTGATTCCGGCTTTCACACACACATGTCCCTATAGATACAATAGATACGTATAGACCTATCACCCACGTATAGTGGTGTGAGTTATGCAGTGATTGATCATGACTCTCTCTGTGTGTGTGTTCAACAGATAAGAGTGGACGGGGATGGGAAGATTGTCGACGCAAAGTTCAAGACTTTTGGCTGTGGCTCTGCCATTGCCTCCAGCTCTCTGGCCACTGAATGGGTGAAGGGAAAGACGGTCAGTCAGTAGAGGGGGAAAGTGTTTCGTGTGTGTTCGCGCGTGCATGCATGCGTGCATGCGTGCGTGTGTGTGTGTGCTAGCATGTGTCTGTGTGTGTGCTAGCATGTGTCTGTGTGTGAGAGTTGTTGCAAGTTTTCCATGACACTTTATAGTGCCGTCATAACTTTTTGTTAATTGGAAGTTTTTTCCAAAGTTTCATGGAACATGCGTCTACTATACAGAAGGGTCTTTTCCACAGATTAAACGTGATTGCAGGTTTACACTTCACAAACTGTGTAATGCCCTTTACGTGTCTTCTGTTTTACTCTGTCGGATTTTATCTCTTCATTCGCCTGATCCCCTCCCCCTCCTCCTCTCCTCCACCCCCCCTCAGTTGGACGATGCGGGAGAGATAAAGAACACCACCATTGCCAAGGAACTGAGTCTACCACCAGTGAAACTGCACTGCTCCAGTTAGTTCATTAATAGAGCGTAATATTATAATGTAGTGTAACAAATACAGTAGAACGAGTTATATAGCTTGAAAGTAACGCTGTCCTCTAACCCACTAGTCTTAACAAAGACCACCTCACTCAATTTTCAGTTTCAACATTGGAACCCCTATAATTTGCTTGTGATGAAAGAATGTCTACAGTAGCATCCACACTAAATAGCTCCCCATAGCTGACATTATATAATCATCTGCAACCCCTGATACATCTTCCTTCTTCCTCCCCCATTTCTTATCCGCTCCCTCCCATTATTTAATTCCCCACCCAGTGTTGGCAGAGGACGCCATTAAGGCGGCCCTCAAAGACTACAAAGGAAAGCAGGATAAAATGGAGAGCACATGCTGATGGTGTGCTCTATTTAGACTCTGCACCAGATACTCCTGCACCCCGTATATATATATATCACCCTCTGTTGTCAGTTTATGTGGATTTCTGTAATATTATTTGTTTATTCTTTGTGATTTGTATCATTATTTCTCTTGTCATCGTGAAAGATATGCAATTATACTTACATAATGAATTATTTCAACTAATGCCGAAAAATCCTAAATTTCCACAGATAACATGCTACCTTTGGTTGCCACGTGTCAGAATGGCAACTATAATATAATTATATATCAGCTCTGGCAAAAATCATAATCTGGGATGTCAGTTTACAATATAATTATACATGTGAGAAACCGACACATTATACAGCAATACAATTGACTGTGGTTTTGTACAAAAATTGACCGGACATGATTCAAATTCAAAACGCGACAAACTATATAGAGAGTGGCAATAGTAATTATTGCAGTCACATACATTCATTAACACACATTACGACTGACGAACATTTAATATTATTTCTTAGATTGCAGTTGCTGTCGATTATATAATATCGTCGTGGATACTACAATTATACACGGACATGATACAACGTATACGGCCGACAGTTTAAGTGAGCTTCTTCAGGACTTTGGCAACCAACGACTGCAGTTGGCAAAAGGGGAGAGGGAGGAAGAAGAGATGGGTAATTACTGACATTCCAAGAATAATTGGACTAATAGAGATTGGATAACAATGTAAATACGTGCCATAGACTTTCCTTTTCTGACTGTTTGCATTGTTTATACACATTATACACTAACTGATCCACACAGAGTTGAAAATTTGGAACTTTTCCCCCAAAACTGGCATTTTCCCCACAAAACGCACTCATTACATACAGAGCCACTACCAGTGATAGCAGCTAGTAGTACACACACAAGCAATACGATGACGTTTTTAGAGTATCTGGAAAAAGGACGAGAAAGAAGAAAGGAGTAAGAGAAAAAGAGACAGGAGGAGAAGGATAGGGGTGAAGAAGAGAGGTGAAGAAGAGTGTCAACCTGGCAGTTTGAAGTGTAAGTGTCCAGCAACTGCATAAGCTACTAGAAAATTCCATGATAAAACAAAGAGGAGGAAGAAGAGGAGAAAGGCGTAGAGGGGGGAGAGGGTGTGTCAACCTGGCAGTTGTCTTGGAGGCGAATGTGTCCACTGTTCTGGTAGGAGGTGCCTGAGCGAAGGGAGTCGCGATGGTACATGTACTCCAGTGACAGCCCCCCGTGACCCTCGGCCAGCTGGTGAACAAAGTCCGGGAGATCATCTGTCGTGACGTCACAGGCTATCGCCAGAACCCTCAGCAGGTCCACACTGTTAGTGGTAGAACACTGTCACCACTTGTGTATTTTTTGGTTTGGGCATGCGAGCGAGGGCAAGCAAGTCTATTTAGAGTGTGAACATTGGTGTGTTTACTAAAGCAGGCCCTGGGTTCCACATATATAGATTGTGTTGGAAGATGCCTAAAACCGCATGTTTGAAGCCAATTCTATTTCCCAGCAAGTACTCGACAATGAGTGTGCACTAACTAATAGTCAGACACTAGAAGCCCGAGGGCCCTTGCATTGTGGCATTCGGAGCAGAGTACTTTTATAGTACATACTCCAATTAACGCACACTTGTTTTTCGATGTGAGCGGGTTGTGCGGGGAAACGGCACCGCGGGAACTTCTACAAGTTAAAACTGTAGTCTGGAGAGGACGCTGGAGGCACTTGTGTATTTTTTGGTTTGGGCATGCGAGCGAGGGCAAGCAAGTCTATTTAGAGTGTGAACATTGGTGTGTTTACTAAAGCAGGCCCTGGGTTCCACATATATAGATTGTGTTGGAAGATGCCTAAAACCGCATGTTTGAAGCCAATTCTATTTCCCAGCAAGTACTCGACAATACTGATCTACACGTATGTATGAGGTGTCATCTGACTATGTATGTATGTATGTACTACCATCAATATGTACAGTTTGTGTGAGCAAAAAGTGCACCAATAGCAAATTCGTCCGTTCACACATTTTTTACCCGCGAGTGTGTGTACAAGCCAAGAGAACTCACCAAATGTCGAGGTTGATCTTGGCGGATTTCTTGCTGGTCCAGAGAGCCACCCTGTCTCCCTTCTTCCTGCGAGACACGACAGCTCCGTTCACTGCGTGACTGCTCTCAATGACCCCTCCAATCATTGCCAGGAGCTACAGGAGGGATGGAGCAGGTCTACTATGTACATAGCCACGATAGAATCTTCACAAATATCAATGTGGATTAATCAAGCAAAAAGTGCGTTTTCATGCGTGAGTGCGCACTAACTAATAGTCAGACACTAGAAGCCCGAGGGCCCTTGCATTGTGGCATTCGGAGCAGAGTACTTTTATAGTACATACTCCAATTAACGCACACTTGTTTTTCGATGTGAGCGGGTTGTGCGGGGAAACGGCACCGCGGGAACTTCTGCGAGTTAAAACTGTACCACGAGATTTCGTAATCACGTTTTCACGTGTGAGTGCGTACTAAGAGTCTCTCACCAGTTCTTCCCAGATTTTGTCGAGAATCGCCTCGTCTCTGAGGGTCAGGACCCATTTCCCTCCCTGCTCGTTGGCCGGGTCCTCCCACAGTGGCTCTATGCCCTCCTGTTGACGATGAGATGGGGGGGAGTTAATGGGAATGTGGCAGTAGATAAGGGTACTAAAGATACAACAAAACAATAGGGGCAGTGAAAGAATGTTGAGTTCATTTTTTACTAACATTTCTAAATTTAGCCTGCCACATTCCTTTAAAGGGAGTCTGGCAGTAGAAGGAAATGTTTCTGACATAATTATCGTCTTTAGCCCATATGTAATGTATACATTGTCACATTCCCTTTAACATTGGATGGATGCGTGAAAGGGATGAGAACATGGATTATGGTGAGAGAAGGAGAAAGGAGGAGAAAGAGGGAGGAAGAGGCAGACCTTGAAAAAGTGATAGTTGCTGTTTCTCTCGAGGCCTCTCGGCTGCCTGATATTGTTGTACAGCCTCCAGAAATCCTCCACCTGAGTTTCACATCACATCACACACACACACACATTACCTCTGTCACCCAACACCTTGAGATTCACTCATACGTAATACACTAATACACGTGAGAAGACCCACAAAAGCCTCAAGGCAGGGGTAAACAGGTCTGAGAAACCCGAGTTGGCACATTTAGGCTTTACTTTTTTATTTTATAGGGGGTTAAAATACTAGACGCTAATACTTTATACACCAATTTCTGCTTATTTACGCAGATCCCCATGGCATCTGAAGGGTTAAGTGACTAAGGTAATGCCTAATCGTGGCGACTTTTGTAACCAACTAAGAGAGAGAGAGGGAGGACTTACGGAAGACATGGTGTGGATGTTCTGCAGCGATGATCGGTAGTCTGAGCGACAGTTTCTGGTGTTGCCAGTGATTCTGTCATACCACATCACCCTGCAGTAAGTAAGTACCGGGGGTGACTTGTGAATCCGTACAAGATGCAACTATGAATGCCATACACATGTAGAAAAAACCATGTGGTACATTGACTGCTGTAAACTATTGACTAAATTCGAAGTAAAACTGATGCTTGAATACCAATATTCATACATTGGTCATTTGATCCATCGAAACACTGTACACTAAAGATAGGCAGTAAAAATCTAAAACGTACGGAACTGTATCCAGTAGTGAAGCAGAGGCCAAGCTTATAGTGTATATACAATGCTGCAAAGTATAGTAGGAAAACTGATGAAGAATGCTTGGCAAGCTGCGAAAATGGGCCCCCGCCCTACTGAGAATTTGTGTAGATTATTCGAATTTCGAAAGATTTCTGCCATAAGAACGTACGTACCAGGTGGATTCAAGTGGAAGGTTGGAAGGTACAGCGGCAATGTCGCCAGGACACACATCACATGACAAGTCTCTCTCCACCACAGCTTCCCCTGTCTCCTCATCTCCCTCCTCCCCCTCCCCACCCTCCACCCCTTCTCCACTCACAACCTCATCCAAATCACCGTCATCTTTCACCTCCTCCACCTCTTCTCCTTCCTTCTCTCCCTCCCCACCCTCCACCCTCACAACCTCATCCAAATCACCGTCATCTTTCACCTCCTCCACCTCTTCTCCTTCCTTCTCTCCCTCCCCACCCTCCACCCTCACAACCTCATCCAAATCACCGTCATCTTTCACCTCCTCCACCTCTTCTCCTCCTCCTCCCCTCTCTCCTTCCTTCTCTCCCTCCCCTAACCTGTCTTCTTCACCATCTTCAACTTTCTTCTCCAGTCTTTCCACATTCAATTCCCCCTCTTCGTCTCCCAGACTTGTGGGCGGAGTTTTGCTCAAATCGACACACCCACTGTCGTCCTCGGAACCAGAATGTGTGTATGGAATGGGGACCGGCGGCAGACCGACGTGGGAACCAGGCCACGAGAATGCCGGCCCATGAGGAGGCGGAGGGTAAAAACCAGTTTGGTGATGGAAGTGGTAATAATTAAAGGGACCTGTGGTTGTCACGGGGACATGTACTTGGGATAAGAAGTGTGGGGGCCACCCCATGGGGTAGGGGGAGGCGTGAATCATATGCGGGTACGCTGCGGCCGCATTCTGGGGGTGTGGCTCCAGATTCTGAACCCTGACCTCTCCATTTGGACCAGAGTTAGTAAAGAGCTCTGTTGGTTGGATTTTGACGTCGGGACTGTGTAAATCGGGCCATTCGTCTTCGTTACCCTGTTCGTTGTTGTTGGTTTCGACTGCTTCAAGGGTCGGCCATTCCTCCCTCATCTCCGTGGTAACACCGGTATCCGTGGCAACGGTATCCGTGGCGACGTGGAGACTTGGAGAGGGGGAGTCACGTTGTGAGGGTGTGCTGGGCGATGGGGAGTGTGAGTGGGAGGAGCAAATGGGCGGAGTCTGTGGATGAGACGAGTTGCTACAGACGCTAGACTGGGGGCTTGCGTCAGTCCCAGAGTACGACTCCTCCCCGATCGATGACACAATAACGGAGCTCGGAAGATCGCACTCTTCCACACACCCTGTAGATCGACTGACGTTGACGTGTGCATCAGCTGCTTCCCGAGACACCTCATCAGGCTCCGCCAAATCCTTTTCCTCTCTCCCTCCTCCTCCTCCTACTTCCCCTCCTCTGCCTCCTTCACTAACCCTCTCCACTATCAGCGGATCATCTCTCACGGGGACTCCTTTTATTTCGCTGCCTACATTGACTCCTGCATTAGCTGAAATCGTCTTATTTTTCGTTCCATCGGCTGTTGGTAGAGGTTGACCCTCAGATGTCGGCAGATCCACTCGTTTCTTTTGCTTTTGGAGCGGTTTTTGCTCGGTTTAGTCACCTGACTGTCACATGATTTGCTGGACTTGTCGCGTGACTTTTGCGGCTGGTCACGTGACTTTGGATACTTCTCATGTGGCTTTTGCGGCCGATCAAGTGATATGTTCAGGTACTGGTCATGTGGCTCTTTCCGTTCATCACGTGACTTTTGGTGCTGATCATGTGACTTGTACTTCTGGTCATGTGACTTCTGCTGCTCTTCACTGAGAAGCTCTAGCGAGAGTCTCAGAGTCTCGGCAAGGCATGCCTCGTTGGTCAAGATGGAGGAGGTGGAGGATGGGTGGGGTAAACTGGGGTCATCTTGGGGTATGGGGGAGTGGGGTGGAGTAGAGGACGGAGTAACGAAAGCCGAGGAGTTTATTCCGTCGTCGTCAGAGGCCGGATGACTGTGAAGAAGAGATAAAACTTGCGACTCAAAACTTAGTTTAACACTTAACCAGCCACGGAAACACACAATGTGTCCAGAGCCTCCACACATAAGTCCACAAGAATTTATATGGGGGTTATAATACTAGGTGCTAATACTTCAAACATGAAATTATGCCGATTAAAGAAGATACCCATGGCGTCCAAAGGGTTTTAAAGATGCCCATGAAACAGTAAGTTTTTCTCCCTCTCCTGGTAAGGGGCGTCCCATACATAAGCACCCATACAGCGTGGTATGTATGTATGTGTATGTACTATTACTATACCTGAGAGCGTCGTGGAATTCATCGTCCATACCACTGCTGCAGCTGCTACATCGAGACCTCTCTCCCGTAGATTCCACCACCACTTTGGACGGGGTCTGGGGTACGGAGGAACACCACATGTACACACCAGGTCACACGGTTGAGATGTGCATATCTATCTATCTATCTATATGTTATACCTATGGCTGGTATGCTATGAACCATAATTTCATGCATCACATGGTTTTTTTCTACACATGCAATGTGTATACATACTGTACGTAGATGAATAGTGTACACACGCTTCATAAATGAGGTAACGCTTCATTCAGGTAATTTAAAAACAATAAGTATAACAATATTTAGTGTGGAGGAGGATTCTAGTCGATGAACATGTCCTTATTATTATGCATAGTCAATACATGGCTGTCTAAAATGTTTCTCTAAAGTGCGGTTCTTTGTTACCTGAGGGTCAAAAACCGAGCTCTCACGACTGCTGCTGAGATCCTCTCCCTTGCCCGAGTCAATGGAGCTGTGAGGAAAAAGGGAGAAAGAGGGAGAGGGAGAGGGAGAGGGAGAGGGAGAAAGAGGGAAAGTACTGCAAATATACACTTGATCATGTGACAATTATTACTGGAAGTAACATGTGAGCACAAGCAATGGACACTGACTACAATAACAGGCAATTAGCGATGGGAATGTAGCGACAATTTCTACAGATGCTACAGATGTAGCGTGATTCACCTCCACAATTACATGAAGCTATTACACCATGTTGTACAACATGTTGTACAACATGTTGTACACCATGTTGTACACCATGTTGTACACCAACCTTTGCACAATACATACACTAACCAAAAGACCTCTAAGAGGGAAATTTTTGGCTTGTCAAACTTCCACAAATATTGTAGGGTCAACCCCTTCTCTGTAAAAATTTGTGGACGGGGAATAGGGAAGCTGTGAAAATTTTCTACTGAACTAAAATTTTTTTCTCCATCACTCCAGTTTAAAAATTTGCGTCCTTTGTACTCTACAGGATGTTATTGAGCCTCCCAGTGTTATCACTTTTCCAATGAACACATGCTGATCATGTGAGGATCTGCTATATACAGTGAATATGATTACTAGGGAACTGTGGTTTTAAAACACAGCTGGGTTGCCACAGAGATGCTCGATAACAAAACAGTGTGTGGGTGGAGTCCACATGATAGTGGAAGCATGAATCACATTATTACTCGCGAGCCAGAAAGTAATTTCTAGTCTGTCTCCATCTCGGGCACTCGTAGAGTTGTCCTGGGTGCTAGTGACTTGCTGGCCTTGCTAACAACTATGTATCCGTTTAGGAGTATGACTACCCCAGGCTAATAGTTAGGAGTATGGATACCCAGCTAAAGTCGTGTAGGAGTACCTTATACCACCAGCTAGTAGTAGGCATGTATTATCCCAGCTAATAGTTATGAAGTCGTATACCCCCGTCTAAGAGTGTAGGAGTTGATACACCCAGCTCATAGTTGTGGAGTATTATACCAGCTATGAGTTTAGGAGGCTATACCCAGCTAATAGTTTAGGAGTATTATACCCCAGCTAATAGTTTATGAGTATTATACCCCAGCTAATAGTGTTAGGAGTATAGACCCCAGTCTAAGAGTTATGAGTATATACCCAGCTAATCGTGTGTGTAAACCACGTTACGGACATGGTGTGTCATCTTACGCCATATGGTTGCAGCATCGGTTCATACGAAAGAGTATTTTCTGGTGTAAATACAGCATTCCAAGTCACGTTTCAGAACTAGTGCATAATTCCCGTGTTTAATTACGAGTTACGTAATGATTACCTCATAGTTCTGTTTCCCCGAGTTTTTCCCCTGTCCCTTCTCCGCTTGTCTGTTCCCCACCCGTCTCCGTCGTGTGTCGCCCATCTTTGACTTGCCCTTCCGCGCCCGGTCCTCCTCGCTTATTCGTTTTTCACTACTCTTGCTCGGCGTTTTCTCTCCTTGTCCATCCATCACTGCTAGTACTCCCAGCTGTAGGCTCACCCTGTATGTCGTATCGTGCATACAAAATTAACCTCATAGCCCGTTTATATTTCGGTAAAACAACATTATTTGTTGTATAATAAGATACATAGACTTTAGACAGACACTTGCCTCATCGTCTGGCTATTTGGCAACGAAGTGGGGAGGTCAAGGATAGTTCAAACAGAATTGGTTGGGTGGGTGCTGCTCTCTCACCACACCACCACACACGCACGGCAAGCACGCACGCTGCACCGGGGGCACCCACAGGTGCTTAGCCCCACACCACTAGGCAGGCAGGTATGCAGGTCACCCGATGTAAACATCTGGTGATGCCGATGATAATCAGTTGATGTGGCTACAAGAGCTCAACAATGATACACAATGGTCCTTTGTTGCATTCTCCA